TGCCATATTTAAGTTCATTTAATTAAATTGATTAATTTATTTTTTTGAGTCAGAGTCTTGCTCTGTTCCCCACACTGGAGGGCGGTGGCACACTCATGGCCACGGCAGCCTCGACTTGCTGGGCTCAGGCAGGCGATCCTTCCACCTCAACCTTCCAAGTAACTGGAACCACAGGCGTGCGCCACCAGGCCTGGCTAATTTTTTTGATTTATTGTCTCGAACCCCTGGGCTCAGACAATCCTCTCGCCTCCACCTCCTGAAGTGTGGGGAGTATAGCGGCCTGAGGACCTCCTGGATTTTACATTATTTGCTTTTATTTTAGATTGATTTTTAAATTTTATATTTACACCCCAGCACCTACGATATTTTATTTTTTATTGATATTGATATTTTTATTTTATATTGTTTTTACCGCAGCGCCTCTCTGGGGCCTGCTGCTCTGTGTTAGTTGAGTGAGCAGGTGTGAGGAGGTGTGGGAAGACCAGCGATGGTGGCCAAGGTCAGGCTGAGAGGGAGCTGAGACTCCCCGAGCTGCTTTTCACTTTGGTCACAGGCAGAGGAGGTTTGAGAGGATGAAAAGGGCTGCTCCTCCTCCCCCCACAGAGGGGGAGGGGCCCTCGGTTCCACCTGTAGACGCAGAGATCCCTACTGTGTGCGGGTTGGGCACGGGCTGCACACACAGAGACGAAGACCCGGCTGGTCTCCAGGAGAGGCGAGGGTCGTGGGGGTGGGGCGGGAGGAGCCCGCCGTGATCGCGCTGGAGTGGGCGAGCTGCTGATGGAGTGAGGGCGTTGCCATGGCAGCGGGTCCACGAGGCATGTAATTACATGCGCTGGAGAACCGACTGGCGGAGGACGGGCCCCCACCTGATGGGCGAAAACCATGGTGGAGGGATTCTGACAGGAACAGATTTGCATTTCAGAAAAACCACTCTGCGGTGACCCCGTGGAGCTGGGGACAGGGCCAGGGACAGAATGACGGGAGGGAGGGCGGTGGAAAATCGCAGCGGGCCAGGCAAGAAATTATGTGATTCAGAGCAAGCCCCATTTGCATTTAATTTTTCTTCACCTCCTCGTTCGGTTCAGCCCTCGGGTTGGTTTTTTTTTCTCCCTAGGATGAGTCACCATGGAAAAGCTTCACTTGAGCAATCAGCTCTGTGGATTTTAATGGCTTTTTTCTGATTACAAAATTAATAAATATTCATGTTAGATAATTTGGAAAATAGAAGAAAGCACAGGAAGAAAACAAGCATCCCCCATGCCCAGCTGTCTAGAGCGGATACGACTTCGTGTCAGTATGACCTCAACCCCCAACCCCTCACTCCACATCAGGGCCATTGCCGTAGGCTTACAGATAGCGTCATCACCCCATCTTAGAAAACACCCCCTTTACCCCTCCTCTCCAGCCATCACCCCATTTCTCTACTTCCCCATAGAGCAAAACTCCCGGGAGCACAGGCTTGACATGCCACCTGTCCCCACTCACTCCACCAGAGATGCCTGGACTTGGTCCCACAAGCTCCGAGGTCCAGCTTTGTGGTCAGCTCTCAGGGTCCTCTTCTATCAGTGTGCCTGTCGCTCTGTCCTCCCTGGCCCCGTCCCTTCCCTTGGCTTCTGGGGCCCTACCCTCTCCTGGGCCATGTGGGCGCACTGACACGAACCTTTTCCTGCTTCCAGCTCTGTCCTCGGGCCTCTCCTCCATTCCTGTCCTGGCATAAACAACCCCCATCTCCGGAGGGCCCTGTGGGCTGCCTCCAGCCAGTGCCTGCTCCTGAACCCCAGCCTCTATGTCCAGGTGCTCACTCGCTGTTCCCCTCTGGTGCCCATCGGCCTCTCACAACTTCCGGGTCCATGCCGAGCCCCCTGGTCCTCCATCTGTCCCTCGCAGCCTTCTCCATCTCGAGAAAGGACGACAGCATCCTTCCAGTCCCTTAGAAGAAGTCTTTCAGTCCAACAGCAAAGCCCATGGGTGTTGCCTGCAAAATGTATCTCAACGCACCCCGCACTCTTGATCGACACACTATCACGCCTCACCTGGACGCTTCCAGAAGCTTTCTAACCGCTTTCCTCTAGTTCAGCCTCCTTATTGTCTAGCCCCAAAACAGCAGCCAGAGGGGCCCTTTCAAGCCATTCAAGTCCCTCCATGTCACTCCTCTGCTTAAAAGTCTTCAGTGGCTTCCTGACTCAGAGGAAAAGCCAAAGCCCTTGCCTAGGTCTTAAGGCTCCCGTGATCTGCTCCCAGTGCCACCCACATGGGCCTCCCGGGTGCTGCTCGGGGCCTTTGATTAGAGTCCCATCTCTGGGACTTTGCACCTGCTGGTCCCTACACCAGAAATGCTGTCCTTGGAGTAGCCACATGGTTTATTCCCTCACTGCTTTCAAAACCTTGTCGTCACCTTCTCTTCTTATTTTCTTTATTTTGAGTTGGGGGGTCTCACTGTGTGGCCCAGGCTGGAGTGTGGTGGCACAATCATGGCTCACCACAGCGTCGATCTCCTGGGCTCGGGTGATCCTTCTGTTTCAGCCTCCCAAGTAGCTGGAACTACAGGCAAGCACCTCCTTGCCAGGCTAATTTTTGTATTTTTTGTAGAGAAAAGGTCTGTCTCACTATGTTGTCCAGGCTGGTCTCGAGCTCTTGGGCTCAAGTGATCCTCCTGCCTCAGCCTCCCAAACTGCTGTGATTACAGGCGTGAGCCAACGCACCGGCCTTGCATGGTGTTTTAACTTTGCCCCCTGGGAGATGAAGCCCCATGGTCCAGCCTTGACCTCTGACAGGGTCCATCATAACAACCTCAGATCTGATCTGTGCCTGCTCCCCATAGGCAGTGCCACCAGACTGGAGTTGCCACGGGCCATGCAGCTGCTTCTATGACTGCTGGACCTGGGAACAGGGCTGCTAAGTGCCCATGAAGCCCCCAGCCACGGCTCCCAGGAGCTGCCTCCATTTTACGTTTGTGGTCAGCCTCCTCTGTGGAGGTCCTCTCCTCTCCCTTCAGGTCTCAGCCTCCCTGTGGGGGCCCTTGGCTTCCCCCTACCCACCCCCTTTCCACCCTGGAGGTGCTGCTCTGTGTTCATTCCTCCTTCCTAACCCTTCGTAAATGAATTCACACCGAGGTGCACCTTTCCCTGTCTGGTTATGGCTATCGGGGAGGCACATGGCTTGCTTCTGACTTGGTGAGCTTCTAGTTTTTTCCCTGAGAGGCCTGACAGGGTTGTCATGAGGCTCCCCCGAGCTTGTGGCAAGAGTGCAACCTCATGAAGCGTGCCCGCCGGTGCAGCTGGTGCAGTTGTCAGGCCAGGGTAGCTGCTCCCTGAGTGGGGCCCAGCTGTGAGACTGAGCATGCCAGTTCGCAAGGGGGTGTCACATCCGCTCACAGGGCTGGGAGGGTGTTGAGAAAGTTATTTGCACTTTGGTACAGGCTTTGCCTCCCTCTTGTCTGTGGACAGCCTCCTGGGCACTGTCATCTTGAGGGTGCCCCGGGAAGAGCTGGGTCCTCTGGCCCTTTCTTCCCAATTTCTCCCCTCCGGCTCCCGCCTCACCCCCGCCACGGGCCCTCCATCAGACCCTCAGAGAGCCTTTAACTTGATTCTCAGGGCGGGCAGGCCGATGTCTTCCGGCAGCTGCTCACCACAGCTGGTGGCACCCGGCCCACAGGGACCGCACACGTTGGTCACGGTGGGCTGCTGGGATCGGGTTGATTTCCTGGAAAGAAGACAAATGCCTTTTGTGAGAGCTTCCCAGAGGCGACCGCGAGAATCCAGGGAGGTTGAGGGCCGCTCCAGCCGTATCTAACCTAGACAGCAATCCCAGCTCCGCCCAAGGGGAATGCTCAGCTGGAAAACACTGCACTGATGGCCTCGCTTGCAGTTGGTGCTCAGAAATAAGGTAGAATGAGCCCTGAACATGGATTTCCAGGCCTGGTTTGAAATCTGTGAACTAGAGTTGTGAGCCAGCTGGCTGGGCCTCAGGGGCGAGTGAGTCACTAGGCTGGTGGGCTGGGGAGCGGCGCCTCCCTTCCAACCCCTGGGTAGAAGCCCCTTTAGGGCTCTTGGTTTTGCTATTATTTACTCATTTAAAAGTTCTTACTAGAGGCGGGGCTCAGCCTGCAATCCCAGCACTTTGGGAGGCCAAGGTGAGTGAATTGCCCAAGCCCGCGGGTTTGAGACCAGTCGGGGCAACTTGGCGAGACCTTGTCTCTACAATAAATCAGAAATTAGCCAGGCGTGGTAGTGTGCGCCTGTAGTTCCAGCTACTTGGAAGGCTGAAGGATCTTGGAAGGTGGAAGGCTCGCTGGAGCCCAGCAGGTCAACGCTGGGGTGGCTGTGAGTGTGCCATGGCACTCCAGGCTGGGTGACAGAGTGAGACTCCAACTGAAAAAAAAAAAAGTACTAGCTGACTTGGTGGCTCACGCCTGCAATCCTAGCACTTTGGGAGGCGGAGACAAGAGGATTACCTGAGCCCAGGAGTTTGAGACCTCGTCTGTACAATAAATAAAAAAATTAGCCGGGTTTGTTGGCGCATGCTTGTGTTTCCGGCTACTTGGAAGGCTGTGGCGGAAGGATCGCCTGAGCTCAGCTGGTTGAGGCTGTGGTGACCATGATTGTGCCACTGCACGTTACCCTGGGCGACAGAGTGAGACTCTGACTCAGTATTAGCATAAGCACGTTGCCAAAATGTAAAAAGAGGGAAAAGAAAGTTTCCAAAATGTAAAAATAGGGAAAAAATTTTTTCAAAATTCCAACCCTTCTACCTTAACAGGTGCTGTTAGCATTTTGGTAAATATTTCTGGCATTTCCATGTCTTGTATTCCTATGCTTAGGGGTCCTTGATTTTTTTATTATTGGAAAAAGACATTCTAACGGCAAGAATGGTGCAGTAGAGTTTTTCAGCTGTTAACGCGTTGCATATCTGCGTGCAAACTCTCTCCACATACACACGTGCATGCACACACACACATCTATGTACGTATGTTGTGATTGGTGGCCTTCCGTTGTGATAGCTGGCTTCAAGAAACTCAAGGCTGGGAACTGGGGCATCTGACTCTTATCTCGCTTATACCACTCATTAGTTTTGCTGTTAGGTCCATTGCCCTCTCTGCATTGTCTCCAAAGCACGAATCATGGATTCCTGCCCTGTGCCAGGTCCTCTGATCAGATCACGCGAGAACGTGAGGCTCAGTGAGCCAAGGTTCTGGCCCAAAATAAGTCATCGGCAAGACTGATCGGGGACCCAGTGTGACAGACAAGGGACACGTGGGCTGAGGGGGACACTTTCTCAGTGCCCTCTGTGGCAGAGGGGCCCCGGCACTTCTCACACTGGTCGGTGCTGAGTCTTGGGTTGTCTGAGCCCCAACATGAACCTGGGCGAAGCACACCTACCCGCCTCCCTGTGTCCCAAGACAAAATGGGTGGTCTGAGCAGCAGGGGGTCAACGAGCCAGGCACTATCCTGCCTTCCATGTGGTCAGTGCAAAGTGCCATGTGAAGACTGAGTGCCAGCCCCACATCGGTGCCCAGGGCCGTTGCTTTGGCTCACCTGGACGAGTACTTAGGAGGCAGTTACTACGGTGAATGAGGCGTCTTTAGCACATCAGTAATGATGGATCTGGATCGGCTTTGTCCATACCCGGCTTTCCTAATGGCCTGTCCACCAGTTGTCTAGGCTACCTCCTGGGAGTAGAGTCAATGGCAGGTCAGCGGAATCCTCTCGTCCCCACCAGGGGGATGGTACACATGGTCCAGCTTGAGTCCTCACTCAGCAGGGTGTTTATAAAATGCAAAAGCAGGACAGATGCTGTAGCTCATGCCTGTAATCCCAGCACTCAGGGAGGCTGAGGCAGGAGGGCTGCTTGAGGCCAGGTGTTCAAGACCAGCCTGGGCAACATAGCAAGACTCCCCTGGCCCCATCTCTAGAAAAAGTTTTTAAAAATGAGCTGGGTGTAGTGGTGTGTGCCTGTAATGCCAGCTGCTTGGGAGGCTGAGACAGGAGGATCGCTTGAGCCCAGGAGTTCAAGGCTGCAGTGAGTTATGATTGGGCCACCGTACCCCAGCCTGGGTAACAGAGTGAGATTCCATCTCTAAAAACAGAAAGAAATAAATAAAATAAAGCACAAATGCAGTGTCGGCATAGGCTGTGAGTGGCTTTTCCAAAACACCTTCATACCCTTATAACATTATCCTATGGGGCGGCAAGGCAGATATTGCTGGTCGCATTTTCAAGCTGAGAAAACGAAGGCCACAGCAAGTTCCACACAGAGCAAATGCCTGACAGAGGCCAACGTGTGGAACCCAGCTCTCAGGACTCGCAGGCTCCCCTGGGAAGCGGCAGCATGGACCCCAGGTCGCCAGGCAGAAGAGTCACTCAGCAGCCTGGCACGCCTTCCTGTCGTGCTGGGCATGCTCATCGTGGCTCATTCCTCGGGTCACAGCTTCTTATGCAGGAAGGCTGGGCTCTGGAGAGGTGTGGCCAGCCCAGCCCTACCCTCCTGACATGGCATCCCTTCTCCCAGGTGCTGCTGGATGAGGAGAGGGAGACCATGGCCAAGTCCCGCCGGCTGGAACGCAGCACCAGTGACTTCAGCTACTCCTCATACCACACCCTGGAGGAGGTAGGGCTGCCTGGCATGCTCTGGGCGCTCTTGAGCCCTTGGGCCTCTGAGGTCTCTAGATGCAAGCAGAGGCTAGTGAAGGACTCCGAGGTGTGTGGGAGGCTGCGACAGAAGTTGGGGAGTCCTCAGCAGATGCTAGGTGATGTGCATGAGGCAGCCAGTCTGCCTCAAAGAGGTCCAGAAGTCAGGATTCAGGTAAGGGGACTGTGGTTCAGCTAAACAGCCCTAGGCAGGTACTCAGCAGAGTAATGGGTCTGCTAGGCCAGGCATCCCCAACCCTGGGCTGTAGATCAGTACTGGTCTACAGCCTGTTAAGAACCGGGCGCACAGCAGGAAGTGAGAGGTGGGCCAGCCAAGTTCCATTTTCTGTCAGATCAGTGGCGGCATTCGATTCTCATAGGAGTGTGGACCCTACTGTGAACTGCCCTGTGAAGGATCTAGGCTGCACTCCTTAGGAGAATCTAATGCCTGATGATCCGTCCCGCCCTGGGTTGTGTGGAAAAATTGTCTTCCACGAAACCGGTCCCTGATGCCAAAAAAGGTGGGGACCACTTTGTGCTAGGCAGAGCACCAAGGCAGGAACCCATTACGGGCCAGAGCAGAGCAGGGAGAGGCTGCCATCACATCCAGTCCTCTGGCTGGGGACCCAGGGGCCTCAGCTCTGCATGACCAGTCGCGGTGTTCAGTGACCCAAGCCCAGGGCGTTTAAATGACAGGAAGCCAGGCACCTTGGAGAGCTGTATTTGTGGACTAAAACAGAGTTGCCTGTGCTTGAAGAAAATTCATGATCATGGTGACAGCCAGCAGGGCAGGTGTGCCTGACGGTGACTTGCTTCTAAAGCCGAATGAGCAAGGATGGCACAGGGGTGCCCACAGGTCTCCTTTTGTGTGTGAAGGGCATGACATTCCTGCTACTGTCCACTTGGCTATTAGAATAACTTTCCCCACTTCACAAGGCTTGTAAAAGAGGACCTATCTTCTCTCAAATAATTGTTCATTCAATATATGTACTGAAAAAAACCAGGAGAATGAATGAATATAGTCTGTCGCTCTCTATTAATGCCAAAGATAAATAAAACAAGAACCCTACCTGCAAGGACTGTAAAGTCTAAAAGGAGGGCGAAGCTAAAAAGCACTACCAGGTCTGTGAGATCTGTCAAATGGATTGAAGGAGGCAAGAGAGAATTTCCAACCAGAGAGAGCTGTGTGGGCTGAGCAGGCTCAGTACATGCTGCCCTCCCAGGCAAAATCGTAGCTTTGCACAGGAGCAATGCACCTTGGAACCGAGCCTGGCCACGAGTCATGCTCTTAGCCCTGGGGGCATCTTTGATTTTTGCAGATCTTGATCTGGGTTCTCATAGACCCTTAAGAGAGGTGGAAGAGCACCAAGGAGGGTGGGAAGGGGGAAGGAGGATTTTCAGAGAGGCCCGTCTGATACACATCATTCCTTTCAGATATACAGTTGGATTGACAATTTTGTAACTGAGCATTCAGATATTGTCTCAAAAATTCAGATTGGCAGCAGCTTTGAGAACCGCTCCATTCTTGTCCTGAAGGTAAAAGCCTCTGGTGTCAACCCAGAGACTGTGCAGTGAGGGCATAAGACTGTGTGTGTGTGTGGGGGGGACAGTGGCTGGGCAGGAGTTTGGGGGAGAGGGAAGATGCGTCTACTGTTGTCCTCAGTGTTGGGACCCATCCCTGTAGGCATGAACGCTGACAGTGAGGTGACCTGGCACGTCCTTGGTCAGGAAGTAACTGGAAGGGTTGGTAGGGAGATGAGGTTCTATTGTGGCTGTGGTCTCCGGGACTTGGGGTATGAGTGTGGCAGGTCGGCATCCACACCACTGCCTCCATTGCTCTGTCCGTGAGATGGAAAGAGGGGTACAGAAAGGCCCATCTGTCAGTGACAGAGATCACCCGGCTCAGTAGCCCTGCAGACAGGCCCAAGTCTCTGGGGAAACCTTCCAGCCCTTCCCAGGGGCCACGGGAACAGAATAGGAAGGCAACTGCGGTGCCCCCTACAAACAATCCTCGGTAAGTGCTCTAAGGCAGGGGTCCCCAGTCCCTAGACCCTGAACCACTACTGGTCTGTGGCCTGTTAGGAACCGGGTCGCACAGCAGGAGGTGAGTGACTGGCAAGTGAGGGAAGCTTCCTACGATTTTACAGCCTCTCCCCATCCCTCACACGACCACTTGAGCTCCGTCTTCTGTCAGATCAGTGGCGGCATTAGAGTCTCACAGGAACGCAAACCCTGTTGTGAACTGTGCGTGCAAAGGGATCCAGGTTGCGGCTCCTTATGAGAATCTCATGCCTGACGATCCCTTCACAATCCGTGGAAAACCTCTCTTCCACAAATCTGGTCCCTGTTGCCAAAAATGTCGGGGACTGCTGCCCTGAGGAAGCATAGGCCGCGCTGGGCAACGGCATCCACTGTTGGGAAAGTCATCGCTGCTGCTCTCAGCAAGGTTCCGGGGACTCTTCTGAGTGGCCATGTGGTTTCACCTACCCTGGACTTGACTTCACCTATCCCTGCTTCCCTCTCCCTCAGGGGCTGTGGCGGTCTCTATTTAATGTCGTCTAAGGCCTTGCTACTCAAAGTGAGGTCCTTGCATGGTAGCATAACATCACCTGGGAGCTTGGTAGAAATGCCCAAACTCGGACTCCTCCCAGACCCACTGAATCGGAACCCACCCTTGAGTACGATCCCCAAGTGTCTATGTGCCTATTAAAGTTTGAGAAATGCTGGGCACGGCGGCTCATGCCTGTGATCCCAGCACTTTGGGAGGCAGAGGCAAAAGGTCTGCCAGGGCCCAGGGACACGAGGTCAGCCTGGGCACCTTGGTGAGACCTCATCTCTAGAATAAATCAAAATATTAGCTGGGCATGATGGTGTGTGCCTGTAGTTCCAGCTACTGGGAAGGCTGAGCTGGAAGGTTGAGCCCAGCAGGTCAAGGCTGCAGTAGCCATGAGTGTGTCACTGCACTCCAGCCTGGGTGACAGAGTGAGACTCCAATGCAAATGATAAAGAAAGAAAGTTTGAGAAACACCAGGCACGGTGGCTCATGCCTGTGACCCCAGCATTTTGGGAGGCCAAGGCAGGGGGATTGCTTGAGCCCAGGAGTTTGAGACCAGACTGGGCAACATAGCGAGACCTCTTCTCTACAAAAAAATTTTAAAAATTAGCCAGGTGTGGTGGTGCCTACCTGTAGTTCCAGCTACTTGGGAGGCTGAGGTGGAAGGATCACCTGAGCCCAGGAAGTCGAGGCTGTGGTGGCTGTGATTGTGCCACTGCACACTAGTGCAGGAAACAGAGTGAGACCTCAACTCAAAAAAGAAAAATAAAGCACTAAAATAAAGTCTGAGAAACACTAGTATTAAGATATTTCCAATCCTGGGGAATTCTGGGGTCTGGATGAATCCCTTTGCTTTCCAAGGGCCCCCACACACTTGGATGCATGCACACCCTCTCTGGCTAAGCATACCTGGTGCATAGAGCCGCCTGGGCATGAGGCTGCCTCTGGGGCCTCCTTCCAGGTAGCCCAGGGAAGCCGCTATCTGAGTTCAGACCTCAGTTTGAGGCCCAGTTCTTCCCTAGTTCAGCACTGGAGGGTCTCGGCGCCCAGCCATCTGGATTGACACTGGAATCCACTCCCGGGAGTGGATCACCCACGCCACAGGCATCTGGACCGCCAAGAAGGTCAGTGCCATCTGCAGCCCAGGGACTGGTGGGGGCTGAAGCTGCAGGGAGGGGGAGGGCGCTTGCTCCACCAGGCCACCTGCAGTTGAGGAGCAAGGCTCATGGTCTCTCCCCTCCTGCGCTGGCCTTCCACACACACAGTCCAAATCTGTCCTCTGCCTTCCGGTTGCTTAAAATCCAAGCTTTTGGTTCTGCACAAAGGATGAGCCACCACTCCCTGCAGCCACTAGCTGTGCAAACGTCCTGTGCTGCCCCAGGATACCCTGCGGGGTCTCCGCCCCTCGTCCTTTCTTGCAGATTGTCAGTGAATACGGCAGAGACCGTGTTCTGACAGACATCCTGAAGGCCATGGACATCTTCATAGAGCTCGTCACCAACCCCGATGGGTTTGCTTTTACCCACAGCATGGTGAGGGTTCGGGGGAGCACAGGGTCCCCTACAAGGGTCAGAGGAAAGGTTGCTGCGCCGTGGGAGTGGGCCCCCTGGGGGGCTTTTGCAGAGAGCCTCACAGGGGCTGGAGGGCTGCTCGGGTCCTGCAGCCGTGGCTTCTTGCCCTCCCACCCCCTTCCTGCCGCCCAGGAAGGCCGCTCCCAGCAGCCTGTGCTCAGGCCTCCTCCAGACCCTGAATTCAACCACTCATCATCTGACCTGCAGCCTTGGCCCGGCCCAGTCCCCGCCAGCCCATCCCCTCCTGGCGATTCCTTCCCTTGGCTTCCTCTCTGCCCCCCCAGACCTCTCCCCCAACATAGGTCAGGAGGGAATGGCCCCGGTGAGTGAGGTCACCTGACCGGGGCTTTCCCAGAACCGTTTATGGCGGAAGAACAAGTCCATCAGGCCCGGAATGTTCTGCATCGGTGTGGATCTCAACAGGAACTGGAAGTCGGGCTTCGGAGGTAGGTTGTGTGTGTGTACGGGGGACAGGGTTGGGGCTGGAAAAGGCGGTGTCGGTCTGGGCAGGGTCTCCCACAGTCAGATGATGTTGACTTGTCGCTAGGGAGGCACAGATGACATGGGCAGCTGATGTCTGTGAGTCAGGGCCAGGGCCAGGCAAGCACACACCTAGGAAGGCTGTGACATGGGGGGGGGTGTGTGTGTGGCACATGTGTGTTAAAGGCACGCATATGGGCAACCCCTTCGAGTTCCCTTCCACTGTAGGAGATTTTCTATCCTTTTAATAAATCCTGCTTTCAAAAAAAAAAAAAAAAGGTACGCATACACTAAGTTTTTAGATTGGTACCGGTCTGTGGTCTGTTAGGAACTGGAGGTGAGCATGGGTGTGCAGATTTCTGTCTTCTGTCAAATCAGAGGCGGCATTAGATTCTTGCAGGCGCGTGAACCCTAATTGTGAACTGGACATGCCAGGGATCTAGGTTGTGCACTCCTTATGAGAACGTAATGTCTGATGGTCCCCCACCACTCCCAGTCCACGGGAAAATTGTCTTCTACGAAATCAGTCCTTGATGCCAAAAGGGTCAGGGACTGCTACTTTAGGGGAAACATTTAGGGGTACCCCCAACTCCTGAGATGAGGACCAACTCCGTGGGTCAGATCTTAAACATGGCGGAGAAAAGCTTAAGGGGGTCCAGAGAAATCTTGTTGTTCCCAGAGTGTGTGTACCCCTGAATGCCTCTGAACTCATTTTCTGAGAGCTGTGACCTGACTTTTGCGCCTTGGGGAAGCCAGGGCAATAGTTCACATATATGGTAGAATGAGTCCATTCTTTATCATCAAGGCTAACTTGAGCGTGGCTTTTATTTTTGACCTGTGACTTTGTAACCCTGGGCCGATTGACTGGTACCCACCTGCAGGGCTGTATGAAAGGGGACCCAAAAAACCTCAGAATTTATTTATTAAAAATTGTGTATTTCTTCTTTCATGTTTAAAGTCAGTCACTTTCAAAGTCCTCTCCGCTGGATCTGATACACCTATTGAGATGCTTTTTCCACTGCTCAAAGCAGTTTTTGAACTCATCAATCTTGATGCCTTTTAGTGCTTCTGCTGTTTTTTGTTTCTCCTCTTCCACATAGGCAAAGCATTTCCCTTGGAGGACTTCTTTAGTCTGGGAAACAAAACAGAGTCACTTGGGGAGAGATTGGGTGAATAAGGAAAGTGGTGGGACATGGGATCATGCTAGTTTTGGTCAAAAACTGCTGAACATTCAGTGTGGTGTGTGGGCAGGTGTGCTTGAAAATCACCCATTATGAAATGGGCAAACGCATTGCATCTCCCCCCCAAATTAAAGTCAGATGCAGCCTCTCCCAACACTAGCTTATATGCTAGCATATACACTGATGCCGATGGGATCCTAGATGTCTGTGGATCTAGCAGGGGAAGCAGGAACTACAAGAGACCCATCCTCCAGCTTTTTGGGGGTCCCCCTTTGTATGATCCCACTGAGGAAGGAGACTTTCTCCTGAGTTCCTTGGTGTTCTTCCCTGATTATCTCCCTTACCATGCTAGGGCACGGGGACTAGATGGGGGTGATGCTTCCAGAGAGCTGAGATTGGTACAGGGATCCCAGGAAGGCAGCAGTTTGATAGGTGGGGCTCTGAGGCCAGCCTCAGTGGGGCACAGAGTCTCCAAAACAGACACAGCCCTTGGTCCCCAGATGTGGCATCCGCGCTCCACGGGGCATCAGGGTTCGACTCCACAGAAGACTGTGCCTTTGATGTAGACAGACAGACTTATAGGCTAGTGTCTGAGCCAGTGAGAGAGAACATTCTAGATCTAGATGCCTGTCGCCTTGAAAATCTGGCTTCCGTGTGTCTGTTCTCATTGGAGCATTGACAGTGAGGCCACCCGCCCACTGTGGGGACTGCCTGAGGGTCTGGACTCTGTGTGTAGCTGCTTGTGTGAGAGAACAAGACCGTGAAAATGAGGCGCTTCCATCTCCACATGACCAGACGCTTGCCTCAGGTGGGGGCATCCAGGTGGGCCCCTCGGAACTGACCAGAACGAGTGCCCATGACCCCAAGATAGACTAGCTAGTAAGTCACCTCTTAAAGAAAACAACGTCCGTAGCTTTTACTACTGGAAAAAGCTCCATATATACACAATGTACAAAACAGTTATGGAAAGAAAAAAAGCCCCGAGGGGCAGAGAGCTCCCATAATCCCACTACTCAGAGATCGCCACTTTTAGTAATTTACAAGACCCTTCCAGAGATTTTCCCTCGCGAAAAATAAATAGCGAATGAATCCATTAGCAGGCACTTGTGAGACTGTGGGCTCAGAGGACCTTGACTGAGAACGTCAGAGATATCAGAGACGCAGGCGCCAATTCTCATCTGGCCCAGGGAGACTAGTTTATTCTGCTTAGCTCAAACCAGAACTGGTGACTGGAGTGCTTCTCCACATTGGGCAGTGACGCTTGGCTACTGGCAGGGGAGCCGCTGTTTGCGCGTGAGTGGCGGGGCAGAGAGAGCTTTCGGCCACCCCCGCCCCACGCTCTGTTGCTGCTTGCTGTTCATTAAGTGCAGCAGGTGCAAAAACTCCTGCAGACACAACAAGCAGACCCCGTCCTGGTGGCTGCGCCCCCTCCAGCCTGGGCAGCTACCTTCCCCCCGCCCCTCGCAGGCACATCCGCTTCTCATCAGGGCCCCACCCCGGGTGAGAACCAAGATGCTTCTTCTATCTAGAAATTTTTTTGAGTTGGGGTTTCACTCTGTCGCTCAGGCTAGAGTGCAGTGGCATGCTCATGACCACCGCAGTCTTAACCTTCTGGGCTCAGGTGATCCTTCCACCTCAGCCTCCTGAGTAGCTGGGACTACAGGTGCACACCACTGTTCCTGGCTAATTTACTTATTTGTTTATTGTAGAGACGAGGTCTTGCCAAGTTGCCCAGGCTGGTCTCAAACCCCTGGGCTCAGGTAATTCTCTGGCCTCTGCCTCCCAAAGTGCTGGGCTGACAGGCTTGAGCCACGGCACCCAGACTTGATTTTTTTTTTTTCCTTGTCTCCAGTCACACATACTAGGTGTGGAGAAGTCACTTTTGCCCTTAACAGCCTCCCACCAGAAGCGACACCCCTCTCTGGCACACAGTTCCGTTGGTTGGAAGCAGCCATGTGACTTCACCCCAACTGCAGGGGAGGCTAGGAACCCTAGGGAAACATGCGGGCATTTTGTGAGCTCGGTGTCTCTGCCGCTCCCGGGGATCTCGACCCTTTGGGTGGCTTGACTTTACTTCCAGGAAACGGGTCTAACAGTAACCCCTGCTCAGAGACGTATCATGGGCCGTCCCCTCAGTCGGAGCCCGAGGTGGCGGCCATAGTGGACTTCATCACAGCCCACGGAAACTTCAAGGTGCTCATCTCCATCCACAGCTACTCCCAGATGCTCATGTACCCCTATGGCCAGTCAGTGGAGCCGGTTTCGAACCAGAAGGAATTGGTGAGAGTGGGGGACCCTCTCCAGGAAGCCCAGATCTGCTGTGCTCCCACAGGGTTCAGGTTCCCACTCCCCAAGCTAGGTTCTGGACCAAAGACCCCTTGGCTGAGGGGGTGAGGGGAGGGCACTTGTTTTCCTGTGTGATTGAGTCCAAAGCTGGAGGTGCAAAACACAACACACGGAAGTATGTGTTGGAAACGTAGTTAAAAAACAGAAAAAAGCAGCTGGATGTGGTGCCTCACACCTGTCATCCCAGCACTTTGGGAGGCCAAGGCAGGAGGATTGCTTGAGTCTAGGAGTTCGAGACTAGCCTAGACAACACAGGAAGAGCTCATCTCTACAATGAATAAAAGAGTTAGCCAGGTGTGGTGGCTAACTTGAGAGGCTGACATGGGAGGATCGCTTGTGTCCAGGAGGATGAGGCTATAGTGAGCCATAATCGTGCTATCACTGCACTCCAGCTCACTCCAGAGTGAGACCCCTGACTCAAAAAACTCAAAAAACAAACCACCAAAGCCAGAGCCACTGTGCTCCCCCTCACGAGGGCCTCCAGGACTTGAGTCCCTGCTTCTCAGCAGTGGGGGAGGAGCTGCGGGTGCGCGTAGGGAGCCCCGCGGAGCCCGGCCCTCACCTGTGTGGGTGGTCCTGCAGTTCAGGCTCGCCAAGGCCGCGGTGAAGGCCCTGCGTGCGGTCCACGGGATGGAGTACGTGTTCGGCAGCATCAGCACCACGCTCTGTGAGTGAGCCTCCCGGCCCGGCCTCAGACACCTGCCCTCCTGGGGTCGGCTGCAGGGCCGCGCCCCGCCTTGAGCGGGCCGGCCAAAGCTGCCACCCGCATGTGGATGGAACGGGGTGCCCAGGCAGCCGCTTGCTGACAGCACACACAGTCCCTGATGCCTGGCTGGCTCAGGGTTCCTCGGGGGACGGTCCTGAGTCTGGAGGCGACGGAGCACTCCTTGGCAGGGTGGCGGACAGGCTGGGTCATGGCGGCTGCCTGTTGAGGGCTGGGCTTGTGTGGTCGGGCGGTGGACGTTTGGCTTCACTCGGGCTGCCCCTCTCCCTGTGGCCACGTCCTTCTTTTCCCTCGGGGGACACTCTTGGCCCTCGGGTTTGCAGACACGGCCAGCGGGATCACCGTGGACTGGGCCTACGACAGCGGCATCAAGTACGCCTTTAGCTTCGAGCTCCGGGACACCGGGCAGTATGGCTTCCTGCTGCCTGCCTCCCAGATCATCCCCACGGCCCAGGAGACGTGGATGGCCATCTGGACCATCATGCGGCATGCCCTGACTCACCCCTACTAGCAGTGGGACCGAGGGCAGGGCAGGAGGGCCCATCCTCTCCCCAAGGCCCGGGGCTCCCCCTGGCACCCCAGTGGTGCATCCCCACCCTTGCCCGGAGCCCTCAGCAAATGAACACGTGTTTGAACAGGCTGTGCTGCCTCTCTGGTCAGCTCCTGGCCTTCAGGCCCAGTGCTGAGGCGGGGTGGGGGGCTGCCCCCACCCCCAGGGGCAGCTTGAGGTGCTGGGAACCTCTTCACTCCCCATGCCACCTTCAGGAGGACAAGGGGTGGCAAGCTTGCTCCCTCCTGCAGTGTCTCAGGGGCCAGGACTGACTTCAGCAGCTACCAAGAGACATGTTCCAGCGTATTTACTTTTTTTTTCTTTTGAGTCGGAGTCTTACTCTGTCGCCTAGGCTAGAATTCAGTGGCTCGATCATGGCCCAGCCTCGACCTGCTGAGCTCAGGTGATCCTTTCACCCTAGCCTCCCGAGTAGCTGGAACTATAGGAGTGCACCACCATGCCTGGCTGACTTTTTTACTTTATTGTAGAGACGAGGGCTCGCCATGTTGCCCAGGCTGGTCTCGAACCCCTGGACTCAGGCAATCCTCTCGCCTCCGCTTCCCACAGTGCTGGGGTGACAGGTGTGCACCACTGCACCCCACCATATTTACATTTAAAGATGCGCCTAGAGGGGACAATGTTTACTCTGAAGGAGAGGGTCTCCCCGGTGGTGTTTCTGGCACCTCAAGGGAGAGATGGGTCCAGGCAGACGAGCCGCCTCCCCACCTGCTTCGAGTTCCACGCGGGGAGGAGGCAGGGGCACAGGCGGTGACGGGTGTCCACGCGGAAGACCCACTCACCCCACGATGGGTCGTGAGCGGTGCCAGTGTGTGACCTGCTTCTCCGAGGTGTCCTCAAAGCCTCCTTGGTCCTGGGAGCGCAGGACACGGCCCATCAGAGCCAGCACCGCAGAGCACCACACTTCCCAGGCAGAATGACGCCTCCGCCGCCTCCCCCCGCTCCTCCTCCTCTTTCTCTTCCTCCTCTTCTCTTCCTTCCCCTCCTCCTCCCCCCTCTTCCTTCTCCCCCCCACTTCTCCTCCTCTTCCTCCTCCTCCTCCTCCTGCTCCTCCCTCTTGTTCACTGAGCAGTTACTCAGAGCCGCATGCTAAGTAAGCCTGTTGCCTGAGAGAATTAAAGGGGTCCTATTTTGAGGTGCTCATGGAGTATGGTCCGCCACCCTCAGGCTCCTGTCTCTTGCCTTCCCCCACCACTGGGGAGCCGGGTGAGTGGATCTGTCTGCCCTTGGGGAGGCAAGAAACAAGAAATTGACTGAAGATCCAGTGGGTCGGCGTATGTCTGAGGCAGAAACCCAGTCTTGAGAGTAAGACTTGGATTTGCAAGAGCCAGGCTCTGTGTGTGTGTGTGTGTGTGTGTGTGTGTGTGTGTGTGTGTGTGTGTGTGTAAGAAAAGGATTGTGGGAGGTAGGATGAAGACAGCCGGTGAGAAGCAGCTAGAGTGTGTTTCTCCCATGGAGCGAAACCAAATGGAGGGGCTTCCTCAGTACTCAGAGTGGAGGGAGACCGGCGGCAACCCCACAACGCACCAGAGATGCAGCAAGACCCACTGGATGCAAAGAAGAGAGGAAGCCACCAGCCTGGGTTGGAGCCGGACAGACTCTCAGCTCTGGACACAGCAGGGGAGCAAGTGAGGAAAATCTGGATGCTCTGGGCTCCTGACACAGGCTTCGAAAGCCCCCTGGGCCTCATGGGACTCCAGTCCCTCATGGAAAACTGCTTTTCCCACAGCACCCGGCTGCTTCTCCTGTATTTTGACTTCTTGTTGCAAGATGGCTGCTCCCCCGCCCTAAGATCGAGGGGCTAAAAAGTGACCCGGCTCAGTCAGTTCAGGGACTTAAACCTACCCGGTATGGGCTGGAACTGTGTCACGTGGCCGCGCCCAGCTGCAAAGGAGGCTGGAGATTGCTCTTAAAGCTGGGCACATGGCTGCCCCAAATAAGACTGGAGTTCCTTCTGTTGGGAAGGAGGAAGGGAAGAAGGGGGTATTGACAAGGCAGCCAGCTTCTCTGAGGGGCAGGGAGGATCCAAAGGACCCTCAGAACCAGTTTCTTGCTCTAGTTCAAGTGAGTGACTTAATCGCAAAGCCAGAGAACTTTCCAGATCTTCTAGTCCAAGCCCCTCATTTTGCAATTGAAAAGACAGGGGGCCTCAGGATCTTGCACGAGGCCCCCTGTGGACCTAACAGCTGGGCCAAGGCCAGGGGTCGGCCCTTGGCCCGCCCACTGCTGCCTCCCCCAAGAATCGAGGGGGACCCCCCTCCCGCTGGGTCCCTTAAGCAAGCCCGGGGAAACAACAGCTGGGGTTTAATTCATCCAATAAAACCTCAAGATGTTGATGTGTGAGTTCTAGAGATATTGCAGAAGAAGCTTCTCCTTTTCATAAAACCTGAAACTCCCCCCCCATTTTTAAAAGTCTATAATGCTAAACATAAGCTCAGTTTTTCTACATTCTGCTGGGTGTTTTTTTTTCTTTTTTCCAACAAACTGCTCTTTTTAGGTATGTTTTTTCATCCTTTTCATCAGTAAAATTTATGAGCATTTATTTAAAAGAAAAAAATTGGAAAAACTGGAGAGAGAAAGAGCGATTATACATATGGAAAGCTATAAAGAACCGCAGTGAATGTGCTGTGGTTATGGCTTTCTTAGAAAAACAAACCAGACAGGCGGGTTGGAATGTGAGAGTCCTGTGTGAGGCCAGGCTGGCCTCGGGGCTGCGGGTGATGGCTGATGGCTGATGGTCGGGGGTCCCGCGAGGGGGTCCCGTGAGGGGCCGGGTTCCCATCCTCCTCCGTCTCTCTCTGGCCTCTCCAACAAGAGGCAGGGCCGGAGAGAAAATAACTTGACTGAAAACATTTACCTTAAAAATGCTCCTTTAGGAAAACAGAAAGGCCCCCGGCAGGCAGCACAGGCTGGGAGGGAATCCAGCGGACACCGTCCCACCGGGGCTTCCCAAACTGGTCGGAGCTGGACCCAGGCTAAGCTGTTAGGGTCTGGCTCTGCTGGAGGCTGCTGCGGGCCCCAGGGCAGGAGGCCGGCAGGGGCCAGTTGGTTGGGATGGATTTATGGATCATGCGATCATTTCTTTTCTTTTTCTTTCCTGCAAGAAAGAAAAAGAAAAGAAATGATCGCATGATCCATAAATCCATCCCACCACGATCATGGCCACCACAGCCTCAGCCAGCTAGGCTCAGGCAATCCTTCCACCTCAGCCTCCCAAGTAGCTGGGACTACAGGCGCGTGCCATCACACTTGGATAATGTTTTGATTTATTGTAGAGGTCTTGCCAAGTCGCCCAGGCTGGTCTCGAACCTCTGGACTCAGGCAATCCTCCTGCCTCCGCCTCCCAAAGTGCTGAGATTGCAGGTGTGAGCCACCAGGCCTGGCTTCTTTATTTTTTAAAGAGAGGAAGCCTCGCTATGTTGCCCAGGCTGGTCTAGAACTCCTGGGTCCAAGCAATCCTCCCACCTCAGGCTCCAAATTGTTGGGATTACAGATTTGAGCCACCACGGGAACACTGTCCCAAATACTCAGGGTCGGGGAACCTGGAAGGCCAAACGGGCTGCCTGGATTTGTCCTTCAGGGACCCCCCACCATCCAGAAGAATATTACTTGTTGTCATCACCTTGTGGATGTTTGAGAGCCAGGCCTGGCCCCTGCTGCTCCCAGACGGTCCTGGACACATGTGGGGATATAGGCTGGGGTGGGCTCTGCAGAAAGTTCCCAGGCAACAAGTCCGTCTCCTGGGCTGCGGCCATGGTGTCTACTAACACCCTGCTCAATGTGGGCCCCTTGACACAGCGGCCACACGACCAGCCTCCTCCTGCCCTGTCCCTGTCCCCCAGCGTGGCCTGTCTGAGTAGGACAGGCCCACCCCATGTCTCGAGCTCAGGGGGCAAATAATGTTTTGTTTTTTTTTTTTGAGTCAGAGTCTCCCTCTGTCACCCAGACTCGAGTATAATGGCATGCTCATGGCCACCACAGCCTCGACCTGCTGGGCTCAGGTGATCCTCCTGCCTCAGCCTTCAGAGTAGCTAGAATGACAGATGTGAGCCACCATGCCTGGTTAATTTCTTGATTTATTGTAGAGATGAGGCCTCATGATGTTGTCCAGGCTGGTTTCGAACCCCTAGGCTCAGGCAATTATCTTGCCTTCACCTCCCAAAGTGCTGGGATGACAGGCGTGAGCACCACGCCCAGCCTGATAATGTTCTTGCCGTTGAAGGACTGTTGGCCTTCCGAGATTCTTCTCCCCGAGTGTTCAGGATACTCCTTGGGCAGGGCCTCCATTCTGTTTGGCTTGTGTCCGTTGGCCTCATGTCCTGGGGTCTGCCCTGGCCTCCTGCCCGCTCCTAGCTAGTTCTGTCAGGCCCTGCGGCCTCTCCCACCTCCTGCCCCGCAACCCACCCCTCTCAAGTCCCCAAAACTTAGCTAAGCTCATGGGGTCCCCATTCACAGATTCTCCCTGGGATATAGAAGAAAAATGCAGTGCAGAAAACACAGCCCTCAAGCTGGACCCTGGGTGTCTCGGGTGGGAGTGGTGGTTCGCGTCCGTCATGGAGTGACCCCAGCAGGCCTTTACTCCCCTGGATCCTCACCTGCTACCTCATTGCGTGGGCAGCTCGCCTCTTCCCCGCCCCCCCCACCCCCCCATCCCCCGCAGTGCTCCTGACTCCTCTGAGGCTCGGCTTGGCTTTAGGAGATGGGGCATCCTTGCCTGGTCCCTCCCAGCTGCCGGTCTCCATGCTGAGACCCAGGCTCTGGCCCCACATTTCCTGAGGACCCCGGACACAGGAAGGCTTCTTTCTTCAGGAGCGTCTTGCTCCAGAGTCTGCTTCTGGAGACAGACGCCGCCAGACACTTGGTTTGTGCTTAATTTTATTTAGACACAGGGGACACGTGTGCATTATCTGTTCATGGATATACTGCGTACTGGTGGGGCTCGGGGTTCTGTCACCCAAATATTGAATACTGCATCCAGCAGGGAAGCTTCCAGCCCTCGCTCCCCCTCTCCTGGAGTCCCCAGTGTCTACTGTTTCCATCTTTATGAGGTCCGGCAGTTAAGTTCTCAAACTCATCCTAGCAAAGGTCCTCCATACTTCACTGCTGAATATCATGATGGTCACCTTTGAAGTCCTCCCCTTGGGAAGCCATGCACGGACGCCAGTGCCTAGGCCACCCATCAGAGCAAATAAAAAAGACACATATATTCTTGCACAGAAGTAACCCAGAGGTGGAGCAGCAGATGTGATGGTATCCAGAGAAAAGTGCCTCCTGTTTGAGAGTGGGGAAACCTTTTCTAGATGCTTCCCTCTGCTCCCCCTCACATTGCCTTGGAATTACTGGCTCACAAGCCCAGCCCTAAACCAGCCACTTGCAAAAGGGAATGGGACTTCCTCCAGCGTCTTAGCCCAGGGGTGTCCAACCTCTTGGCATCCCTGGGCCCCATCGAGTAGAACTGTCTTGGGCCACACATAGATTATGTAGTATAGCTAGTGTATATACATAACAAGGCTTCTTTTGTTTTTTAATATTTTTGTTATAAGGTTTAGACAAATGAGAACAATATAAACTGGTGGGAAATCTGACCTTGTTTTTGTAAGACTAATCTATTCACGTCTGGCTCCACGGATGTGGTCGTGCTCCTGAGTGAGTTCTTGAGGTGCTCGTCAGAAACGTCTGTTCGAATTTTGATCTTCATGTGCTTCTTCATGGAAAACAGCTGCTCATGAATGTACGTGCTGCTGCCAGAAAGCAGTGTTGTGCCAGGCGCCTGTCATCCCAGCACTTTGGGAGGTGGAGGCGAGAGGATTGCCTGAGCTCACAGGTTAGAGAGGCTGGGCAACATGGCGAGACCTCACCTCTACAATAAATCAAAAAAATGAGCCGGGCATGGTGGTGCGTGCCTGTAGTTCTAGCTACTCGGAAGGCTGAGGTGGGAGGGTTGCCTGAGCCTGCCAGGTCAAGGTTGCAGTGGTTGTGAGCATGCCACTGCACTCCAGGCTGGGTGACAGAGGGAGACTCCGGCTTAAAAAAAAAAAGCCAACCAAAAACCCCCCCCCAAAAGAGGTGTCATGAATAGGCGTGAGTGTGAACTTCAAAAATGAAACTACGCAGGGGGTCACGAAGAAAATAAAATAATACACAAAAAACACATGATGTTAAAAGATTTTGCGAGGCTGCCTTATTAGCCATCCCGGGCTGCGTGCGGCTTGCGGGCCGCGGGTCCTGCCTGTCTTAGACCAAGCAGAGTTTATCCCCAAGCTGGGGACGGGGCGACTTCCCAGAGGTGGATGCTGACGAGTGACACAGGATCCAGGCTTGTTTCAGTCGGAAAGAAATGGGCACAGATGCTGTGGACAGGTCGGCCGACTGCCGCATGCCTCCCCCGTCTGTGTCCCGGCACTTGCTGGGTGACTCCCTCTCACATCTGGCTCCCAGCCTGGTGGCTTCCTTCTTGTGATGGCAGGGCTCAGAGTGCCCCTTGGCCTCTGCCTCTGCCCTTTCCTGGGGCCAATGTGAAGCCATCCCGTGGAGTAGGGAGGCAGGGCTGCAGCTCTCTGCCCCAGGTTACATTCCAGCAAGCCAGTCTTTACCAAGGGGCACTTCTGGGCATCCGTAGGTGCTTGGAAGGTTCCGGGAAGTCAGGTCCAGCCTGCACTTGCGACCCAAGTTCCTCTGCTGTGATGTCAGCTTCCTGTTGGGGCTGGACCCGAGGTGCTTGCAGCACTGAAGTCTCCCTTCCCAGCTTCGCAAAAAGATATGTGAGGGGGGACTCAAAACAACAGAATTTATTTATAAAAAATTGTGTATTTGTTCTTACACATTTAAACTTCAGTTACCGTCAAAGTTCTCTCTTTTGGATGCAATGCACCTATCGAGACACTGTTTCCATTGCTCAAAACAGTTTTGAACTTGTCAATTTGGATGCCTTTTAGTGCTTCTGCTGTTTTTTGTTTCATTTCTTCCACATCGGCAAAATGTTTCCCTTGCAGGACTTTTGTCATCAGGGAAACGAAGTTTCTCAGGGCGAGATCAGGTGAATCGGGAGGGTGGGCACAGGGGTCATGGCTTTATTTGGTCAAAAACTGCTGAACACTCAGCATGGTGTGGGCAGGTGCACTCGTGGATCACCCATCATGGGATGAGCAAACACATTGGAAGAATCTCAAAAAAGTTCACTGAAGCCCAAGGCAGCCTATCACAACAATGCCCACTGGTTCACGGATGCCGATGGGTTCCTAGAACACCCATCCAGCGGGGGAAGCCTGGACCACAAGGGGCTCGCCCTCCAAAGGATAATCACGGTTTTTTTTGCGGGGATGGGGTTCCTCCTCATATTATACAACTCCTGGGCATCTCAGAAAGGCTGGCTAGAGGCTCTCTTGTGAGTCTGTGCCCTTCCACTGGGCTTCCCCTTTCTCGGAGGGCTTACGTCTTCTGGAAGGAATTCACGAAAGGCCCAAGAACTAGCCAACATCTCCCAACATGTGTGGTATGAGCAAAAGAGATTCAACATTACAGGACAACTTTCTATTTAGAAACAGGAGCAGAAGGATTATCTGAGCCCAGTAGGTCGAGGTTGCAGCAGCCATGAGCGTGTCACTGCACTCCAGCCTGGGTGACAGAGTGAGACTCCAACTCAAAAGAAAAAAAAAAAAAGAAACAGGAAAAGAAATATTGTTTTTTATTTTTAAAATTATGTATGCATGTATGTGTATATTTGGGTCATGGTCTCACTTTGTCACTCAGGCTGGAGTGCAGTGGCATAATCATGGCTCACCACAGTCTCAGACTTCTGGGCTCAGGTGATCCACCTCAGCCTCCAGAGTAGCTACAGGTGTGTGCCATTACGTTTGGTTAATTTTCTGATTTTTTGTAGAGATGAGGTCTCACTATGTTGCCCAGGCTGGTCTCAAATTCCTGGGCTCAAGCGATCCTTCCTCCTCGGCCTCCCAAAGTGTTGAGATGACAGGCGTGAGCCACCAGGCCTGGCTGAGAGTTGTGGGTGCTTATAATAGGGTCGCACTGCCTTGGCCTAGGAAGGTAGGCCAGGTAGTGGGTGGGTTAGGGAGGCAGAGGGAACAAGGCAGAAAGGGTCACCTTGGCTGTCATGGCACCCTGACACTGAGCGGCGCCCTGGTGGTGTTGGAAGCCTGGGGGCCGTGGACCAGGGTGGATGTGTGCAAGGCGTCCCTGCAGTGAGGTCGGCAGCCAAAGCCTGGCAAACCCCACGTGGGTTGCAGCTTCTCCTGTGCCCCGAGCTGTGTTCCCAGGGGCTGGCCCCAGTCCCTGGCACGTTTCCTATTCAGGTGCCCATGGGCTACCGTCCGGTGAGGGCAGCCCTGGCCCCGGGTGCCTATGGCAATGTGAGAGTCCAGGGTGGGGGTTCCCTGACACTGAGGCTGATACCCACTGGGCCCGAGGCTGGCCAGAGCGGCCAGGAAGTCCCCTGGAGAGGGAGATGCTGTGGCCAGCACGGACGCCTGGACGGGGGCCAAGCAGACAGGAACAGACGGAGCGGACGGCCCAACTCCTCTGTTCCGTGATGGAGGGCCGGCTAGGGTCTGGGAGAGGGTGCCCAGCTGGTGCGGCTGCTCAGAGTTCAGCTCTGAGCACACAGGCCCGCTGCTGCCGGTTGTGGGCAGGCAGAGCCGCCCAGGCGGCCTCGAGCCCCAGCCGCCCCGGCTGACCCCCTCATGGCCAGGGCTCCAGTCCCAACTTATCTCCCCAGGTGCCCTGTTTCCTGCCACTTATCAGGGAGGGTGAGAGTGTGTCCTAGCTCCAAGCTCCCACCCGCCCTCACCGTGGGACAGGGCCCAGGTGTGAGGGCAGAGCAGCCCTGGGCATAGCTTGGAGACCGCCATCCCGGAGGGTTTAAAAGCTCCGGGGCTGCCTCAGCCTCAGTCTGACCTTCCCAACAGCAGCAGCATGCGGGGCCTGCTGGTTTTTGGAGTGCTGCTGGGGGCTGTCCTTGGCCATGAGGACTTTGTGGGGTAGGGGTGGAGAGGAGGGCGTATCCTGAGGGGAATGGGAGCACTTGGCCCCCAGCCAGCGTCTGGAGGAGACAGACAGACACAGCCAGAGGCCGGACCAGCCCCACCCTGGGGCAGCAGGCTGATGGGGTCCCAGCCGAGGAAGGGTTGCGTTTTGCGAGCCGTGTCCCGAGCCCTGCAGAAACCTGAGCTCTGGGGTGGAGGAGGAGGCCTGGTGGCTTGGGAGATGGAACTAGTCCAAACTGGAGTGGGGACCATAATGGTATTTAGAGTTTCCAAAGACAGGGAGAGACAGAGTGAGGGAGGCCAGGCCTCCAGTGTGAGACTCTTTGAGTCTCCCCGTGCCCTCAGGCCCCGCCGGGGCTCCGGCTGCTGCCGCCCTCCTCACCCGGGAGTGTGCTGGCCAGGGCGGTGCTGCCCCCATGCTCAGTACTCCCTGCTCTGCCTAGGCACCAGGTGCTCCGCATCTCTGTGGCGGACGAGCCGCAGGTTCAGAAGGTGAAGGAGCTGGAGGACTTGGAGCACCTGCAGGTCAGTAGGGAGAAGGGCTCCCCAGCCCCCCTACGTCTCCACCAGCCCTGGCTGACGGCGCTGGGCTCCCCCTCCTCCCCAGGCAGGGCCTGACCCTTCTAGGATGTGACTTCAGACCCGAGAATCTTGGTGCCCTGGAGGCCCTGAGCGAGACCAAGCCCCCTCTCCGTGCCTCTCTGCCGTGCCCCTGCTCTCTGCTGCCCGGCCGCTCTCTGATCATGGGACTGTCTCACCCAAGCTTCCCCCGCTCTCTGTTCCTGACACCCCGTTCCAGCCCCAGCTCTCCGGGAGCATTGGGCACCAGCAGCCCCTCCCAGGCTGGTGCGTGACCACGCCGGTCCCTGTCCCCACAGCTGGACTTCTGGCGGGGCCCTGCCCAGCCCGGCTCCCCCATCGACGTCCGAGTGCCCTTCCTCAGTGTCCAGGCCGTCAAGGCCTTCCTGGAGGCCCACAGTGTTGGGTATGAGATCATGATTGAGGACGTGCAGGCGCTTCTGGACCAGGAGCAAGAGCAGATGTTCGCCTTCTGGGCCCGGGCCGAGTCCACCGACACCTTCAACTATGCCACCTACCATACCCTGGATGAGGTGAGGGTGCCCCAGGGCCGCTTCCTGCCATGATAAGCAGCGTGGTGACACGCTGGCGGGCTATGGGCCAGAGCCAGGGTTGGCTGGGGTGTGTGTGGCACCTGCCCTGCCTGGGTGGTGGCCATGGTGGGCGGGGCGGGGCGACAGGCTGCTGAGGGCGGCATCTGGGAGCCCCGAGGCCATGAAGGCTGCCCTGTCTGTTTTCCCGCCTCAGATCTACGGTTTCATGGACATGCTGGTGGCCGAGAACCCAGGCCTGGTCAGCAAGCTCCAGATTGGCAACACCTATGAGGGGCGGCCCATCTACGTGCTGAAGGTAATGGTGCCCACGTGCAGATGGGCACAGGCACACGTGGGAGGACGGCCGACCCTCATGAAGCCACAGTCCCAGGAACACACAGTTCCACAGACTCCCCATGCAGACATCTGAATTCTCATGCTGGTCTAGGTGTGTGTGCACACCTACACATGCACGATTTAGACCTCAGACTGACCTAAGTATTTTCAGTCAGGGGCCACGACACGGCATGTGTGGTGGCCTCGGGTCATTTGTGTGTGGCCTCTCACAGAGAATTGCCTGAGCAATGGGATAGGGTCAGGGCCCAGAGGCCCAGAGGCCTGGGGGAGTCCATGTACCCCAAGCTGGGCTGAGGGCAGGAGTCTGGGCTCAGGGGATCCCTGTCCAGCCGTTAGTCCCCCACCCACCTGAGAGACAGCCCAGAGCACGGAGTCTTCACCTGGGACCCTCAGAGAGCGGGTGGCCCGGGGTGAGCTCTCCTTCAGGGCAGGAAGACGAGGCCCAGCTGTGAGGTCCCCCAGCTACCCATCCCCCTCCCATCTCTCCTCCAGTTCAGCACCGGGGGGAACAACCGACCAGCCATCTGGATCGACACGGGCATCCATTCCCGGGAGTGGGTCACCCAGGCCAGCGGGGTCTGGTTTGCAAAGAAGGTAAGGCCATGGAGGTGGGTGGGGCGCTCACCTGGTGGGCATCGGTATCTGAGGCCCACGGAAGCCAAGGTCTCCCCTTTTCCGGCCAGAGGCAGTGCCCACAAGAGGGAGGCTGGGGGAAGGTATCCACGGTCTGGTTTGGCAGATGCCCGACCTGGCCTGTGCTGCCCCTTTGCCCCTCCTCTCCCCTAGATCACTCAGGACTATGGGCAGGACCCCACCTTCACTGCCATCCTGGACTCCATGGACATCTTCCTAGAGATCGTCACTAACCCTGACGGCTTCGCCTATACCCATAGCAAGGTATGGCCTTCTCCTCCTTCCCTTGGGGAGGCAGGACGGGCCTCTGCCCTCCGAGGCCCATGAGTTGCTCACCCTGATCTCAAGCTTGTAAGTCGAGGGAGGGCAGACAGGCCTGTGCTCCTGGACCAGGGTTCATCAGCCTGGCGTGGCTGGCACTTGAGGCATGCCATTCCTCATTGTGGGGCTGTCCTGTGAGTGGGTGTGTTCGTGGCATCCTGACCTTAGACCCACTCGATGCTGGCAGCACCCCCTGTGGTGACAACCCCAAATGGCTTCAGCCATTGCGAAATGTCTTGGGGGAAGGGTCTAGGTTGCCTGCAGTTGAGACCCACTGACCTGGACCTCACTTCCTGGTCCTACTTATTTTTACAGCAAATACATCATCTGAGCAACGAGACAGGCGGGCCAGGGTGGGGTGGGGACACCCTGGCTCCCTCACCATGCAGAGCCCTCTGGCCAGTGCCTTCCCGGGGTCTTCTCCACTCTCCTTCCCCTAGGCCTCTGGCGGAGTTTCCTCCCTGACCGTGGGCTGAGAAGCCCTTGTCCCATCAGGGCCCCAGTGTCGAGCCGCCCTTCCAGGGAGTGCACCCTCCCTGCCACTCTGGAGCCCACGGGCATGGGCTGTGAGGGGGGCCGGCTGATCTGTGTGGGGGTCGGCTCATCCCTCTCCTTCCTCAGAATCGCATGTGGCGCAAGACTCGGTCCCTCAACCCCAGCTCGGCTTGTGTGGGAGTGGACCCCAACAGGAACTGGGACGCTGGCTTTGGCAGTAAGGCCTGGCGGAACTGGGGAGCGGAGTAGGGCCCACCTTGTCTTTGGTTTCCCCCACTCTTTCTGCCCAGCCCTGGAGAGAGGAAGGGCGGGGCTGGCAGCCCCCTCTGAGGGCTCTCGGTGGGGTGGGTGCCCTTGTCTGTACAAAGAAAGCTCCTTCCAGGTGGAGTGGAGGGCTCGAAGCCTATCTGGGGGCTCTCTGGCTCAGACTCGTGTCCTCCCTCCCTGGGCTGCATTGTCCCCTCACCCCCAGCCCGTCCTCCCTCCCTGGGGAACGTCCATCAGCTCTGCCCCAACCTGGCTGGGCAGGGAGGAGGACCTGTTTCTTTGGGGTGAGGACGAGCCCTCCCACACCCGCCTTCACCCCAGCCTCCGTGCAGAGGCCTGGGAATGTGGAGGCCATCCCCCTATGCCTCTGTCCTCCTGCAGTGGCCGGAGCCAGCAGCAATCCCTGCTCGGAGACGTACCGCGGCAAGTCTGCCAATTCCGAAGTGGAGGTCAGGTCCATCGTGGACTTCGTGAAGGGCCACGGGAACATCAAGGCTTTCATCTCCATCCACAGCTACTCCCAGCTGCTCCTCTATCCCTATGGCTACAAAACAGAGCCAGCCCCCGACCAGCAGGAGCTGGTGGGTACCCTGCTTGCTCCCCCATCCCCAGGACAGCTTGGGCACAGGGGTTCCTCCCGGAGCGGCTGGCACCCTTTCCTCCCAAGGACTCTGATGGCTTGGGAAGACTGGCCAGGTAGACTAGGCTCCTCTTCTTTCTGGGAAACCAAAGCAGAGAGTGGGTGAGTCACTTCTGTCATGTGGCAGAGCAGGGGGCAGGGCAAGACTTTGATCTGCTCTACGACCCTTGGAGCTGCCTGTGACCAAGGGCAGGGATGTGCCAACCAGACAGCCTTCAGGGTCAGCAGGCCAAGGTGCTGTTGGCTCTGGGGCTGACCTTGCAGGCGGGGAAGGCGCCATGCCACCTGCTGGGGCCGCTTCTGGGGTTTATGCTCCAGGACCACTGCTGGCCCCTAGGCTACCTGGGTCATGACAGGCGGCCTTGCTTGGTGTTTCTCCAGGATCAGCTGTCTGAGTCTGCAGTGACGGCCCTGGCCTCTCTGTATGGGACCAAGTTCAAGTATGGCAGCATCATCAAGGCGATTTGTAAGTGGCCGCATGTCCTTTCTGGGAGGTTCTGGGAGGAACATCCATTGGCTCTTTCCGCCCAAGGAAGGAAGTAGCCAGGGTGCCCCAGTTTGACAACTACTGACCAGCACCATTTTGGGGTGGGGAGTGCTGTCCCTTCTCCTGATGTGAACTCTGCCTTCTTCAGACAAACATGAATTCCTCTGAGAATGCTAGTCTCTTGTCTTGGGGTTAAGTCCAGCGTCTCATGCGGTTGGGGTCAGGAATCCTGCCGGGATTTGCCGACCACCAGGACATTCAGCCTAAACACACACTCCTTCTCCAGTGCCCTTCAGCTAGAGAACACCCCTGACCGCCCCCCTTATTCATACATGCAATGCCCCAGCAGGAGCATCATGCATCAATAGGAGATTAAGCCACCAGTGTTTATTGAGCACCTACTGTGTACCAGGCCATTTCATATGCTTGGGATACAGCCATGAATAAAACAAGCAAAGATCAGGAAGTTTACATTAGTAGCCAGGGACACCGCCAATAAACGTGAGCACTAGACAAGGTGGGGGGAACGAGGGTAGTAGGGGTGGAGGCAGATGGGCTCCAGGGCAGGCCTCACTGATGGTGACATGTGGGCAGGTATTGACAGAAATAGGTGGGCAGCCATGAGACTGTCTAGGAGGAGCTTTCCAGGCAGAGGCACTCTAGAACAGAGCCCCTCCAGTGTCACCTGGCCTGAGGCATTGTGGTCCAGAAAGGGCACCCGTGTGTCTGCATGCACACCCTCAAGGGTAGAGGCGGGGCACAGACATCAGAGAGGGGACGCCAGGCTCACTCATGTGCTTCCTGCGTCAGTGCCCAGGCCGCAGTGGGCAAGTGGGTAATGGTCTTACCCAGGGACGGCCTCGCATCGGGACCCCAGGCCTTCTGTAGAAACTGTTTGCACCCTGAGTCAAGGTCTTGCTTCCTTCCATGTGACAAAGCTAAGTCCCGACATGCAACCCACCCACCTCTGTCCCTTGCCGATTTGGAAGTGGCTTCATCGCCCACTGCTGACTGCCAAGCTCCCTAATAAAAAGACACAGGGCTCTGCTTCTCTGCTTCACCCTGGCTCTCTGCACTTTCCCCTGCAGACAGAGCCCAGGGGGACAAGCCCCCGTTACCCAAGAGGGGAACTCAGATCTGCTTAGAGCCTCAGCCCAGGTGGCCGTTGGGTGGAGGCAGTGTTCACAGGGCCTTTTGCAACTGCAGAGACTTCCTTGCATTCCTGTGAACAGGAAAACCACAGCTGACTCCTCTTCGGGCCTCTTGGCTCTACCCCTCGGCGGGAGTTTCTTGGAAGCCAGGCAGCTTGGCCAACAGCAGGCCTCAGTAGATGCCCACTCCACTCAGCATTGCACAGGGTCCGGGTTCTGGACGGGGCTGGCCCGTGAGCCCTGCTGCTGCCAAGGGAACTGACCCCAGCTCGCTTCCGTCTTTGCTCTTGCCCCAGACCAAGCCAGCGGAAGCACCGTGGACTGGACGTACAGCCAGGGCATCAAGTACTCCTTCACCTTCGAGCTCCGGGACACTGGGCGCTACGGCTTCCTGCTGCCTGCCTCCCAGATCATCCCCACGGCCCAGGAGACGTGGCTGGCGTTGCTGACCATCATGGAGCACACCCTGAATCACCCCTACTGAACGGGCCCTGGGATGCCTTCCCCTTCCTCCTCTCTGGCCCCACCCAAGCAGCCAAATAAATTTTGAGTGTACAAGGAACAGAATCTCAGGCTTGCATGGGACATGCCTGTGGCATCTGCCTCTTCATGCCGGGGCAGAAGTGATTTAGTTCCTACAATCCGCACGGGAAACGTGTGGGTGCTTGGACTAGGTGACTCCCAAATTCCCCTGCATTCCAAGTTCCCGAGAGGTTGTATCCATGTGGTGTCTGTTTTTTTGTTTTGTTTTTTTGAGTCAGAGTCTTGCTCTGGCCACCACAGCCTCAACCTGCGGGGCTCAGGGGATCCTTCCGTCTCAGCTTTCCAAGTAGCTGGAACTACAAGACGCGTGCCACCATGCCCAGCTAATTCAAGTGGTCTGTTTTAGTTAGACCACCCTGAGCTCAGCCTGCCCGTCAGGTGATTTGCTGCTAACCAAAGACCTGGCACCCTGGGGTGGTACAAAATTCAGCATGTACAGTAGTCTAGGTAGCTGTATCTAGTAACTTAGAAAAGCAGTAACCTGGAGGATGAAATATAGTAATCCTGGTGGCTACCATAGTCCAAAATAGATGCTGTAGCTCAGGAAAACTGAGTACTAAAAAGCAAAATAGGGCTGAGCACAGTGGGTCAGACCTATAATCCCAGCACTTTGGGAGGCCTAGGTGAGAGGATTGCCTCAGTCCATGGGTCTGAGACCAGCCTGGGCAACTTGACAAGACTTCATCTCTATAATAAATCAAAAAATCAGCTGGGCATGGTATGCACACTTGTAGTTCCAGCTCCTTGGAAGGCTGAGGCAGAAGGATCACCTGAGTCCAGCAGGTTGAGGCTGAGGTGGCCGTGAGTGTGCTACTGCACGCCAGCCTGGGTGATGGAGTGAGACTCTGACTCAAAAAAACCCCCCAAAAAACAAAATAGGTGTTCCCATGCCCATGTAAAACTGGAAGAAAACAACTGGGCTAAATGAAGTCCTTTACTGAAGATAAAGAATCAACCCCAGAACACTTTATTAATTGCAAACGTTATTATGCTTTCAGGGATAGAAGTAGCTCACTTTTTTTTTTTTTTTAGTCAGAGTCTCACTCTGTCACCCAGGCTGGAGTGCAGTGGGATGCTCATAGCCACCCCAGTGTCGACCTGCTGGACTTAGACGATCCTTCCACCTCAGCCTTCCAAGTAGCTGGAACTATAGGTGCGTGCTACCACGTCCGGCTAATTTTTATTTATTTATTGTAGAGACGAGGTCTTGCGATATTGCCCAGGCTGGTATTGAACCCGCAGGCTCAGGCAATCCCCTTGTCTCAGCCTCCCAAAGTGCCACTGAGCCCGGTCTCTCTCTCTCTCTCTTTTTTTTTTTTTTTTTTTGAGTTGAAGTCTCACTCTGTCGCCCAGGTTGGAATGCAGTGGCACCATCAATCATGGTCCATCACAGTCTTGACCTGCTGGGCTCAGGTGACCCTTCCACCTCAGTCTCCCAAGGCGCTGGGACAACAGGAGTGCACCACCATGCCTGGCTAATTTTTAAAATTTTTTTGTAGAGACGAGGTCTAGCTATGTTGCCCAGGCTTGTTTCGAACTCCTGGGCTCCAGTGACCCTCTCATCTCGGCCTCGCAGAGTGCTGGGATGACAGGTGTGAGCCGCCATGTCCAACTCCTGGCTTTTCACTTGCCAAGCCCTTCCTGGTGTCTTCTGTACACACCTCTGTTCCCTCGGCTGGTCCCACCCACCCTATTCCTTCCCACCCTCCTGCCAAGACCCTCCATGGCTCCTAGGACTTCCCTTCTCTGACTTGGTGATCCCTATGCCTGTGATGATACGCTTGGTGGCTTGCATGATCATAGGGTGTCCTAGCTTTCTTCAAAGCAATAACGTCTCTCCCCTTTTTCGGGTAGAGATGGGGTCTAGCTATGTTGCCCAGGCTGTTCTCAAATCCCTGGTCTCAAGTGATCATCTCCCCTCCCCTCTCACAGTGGTGGGATTAAGAGGCGTGAACCGCCATGCCGGGCCTAGTCTCCCTCTTGTTTCTTCCATGGCTCTTCCAACATAACTGTGAAGCAGGGTTTTCCCCCACAGGTGGTGCTGGGGAAGTGGGTGGGGGGGGCTGGAGCCGGGGGGAAGTCAGCTGCCAGGCTCCAAGACTCATCCAGCCCCGCTGACTTGAGTCTCGTCTTTTCCACGTAAGGTGGACTGAAGGTCAAATGCCTTTTTTCTTTTTAAGGGTCATGAGGGAATTTTCATCTTGGAGTTTTAATATTGTTTTTGCTACCAAACATTCCAAAAATAAAAAGAAAGAGCCTCCGTGGGTGTGCACATGGCATCCACAGTGTGAACCCTGGCACGTGCATGTTCACGAGACAAATACAGCGGTGCTTCTGTCTCCGTGAAAGACAACCTCAGGCTTGCTAGCTCCAGTTACCTTTCAGAAAACACTTTAATCTATGAATAGGAGGTTGTCGACAGGCTGAAATCCATGTTAACCGCTTAGTTTGGGCAGGGAGGAAGCGGATCATCTTCTCTTAATGTAGATTGATAAGAGAAAAATTATGAAGTTAGCAAGACAGTCCACCATGACACAGAACGGGGCTACCCAGACCTTGATGGCAGAATTGCTCAATTGAAATAAACTGCCCTGATAGCAAGGACCACCTTGTTTGGCATTTGCTCTCTCAGGCTATCAACAATGCTGGACATACAGATGCCGAATCAACACTTGCTGAGTGAATGTTCTCAACTTTATTGAGTTCTTACATTCTATCATCTGTGCATTGCGGACTTGCTGAAATAGCGATGCACAGGGTGTTCTGAATTCCCAGGGCAAGCAAGGCACAGTTGTAAGGAAGCTGACAAATCAAGGGAGGAGACCTGGATGCCACCTGCATGGGCAGGAAGGGCTTCCTGTGTTCCCTACTTAATCCCCACTGCTTGGCCCGTTGCGTGGCACAGTCATCGTGTTAGTATCAATAATAATAATAATAATAATAATAATAATAAATGCTTAGTTTTTTTTTTGGTTTTTTTTTTTGAGTCAGAATCTCCCTGTGTCACCCAGGTTGGAGTGCAGGGGCACACTCACAGCCACTGCAGCCTCGACCTGTTGGGCTCAGGCGATCCTTCTGCCTCAGCCTCCAGAGTAGCTGGGACTACAGGTATGGGCCACCATGCCTGGTTAATTAAAAAAAAAAAAAAAATTGTAAAGATGAAGTCTTGCCATGTTATCCAGGCATAAAATGGTTGTTAAACAGAGGCATGAAAGTTAAATTTTTTTTTTTTTGTATTTTCAAGTTTGGAAAGAGATATGTATTTTGTTTGACCATACATATCTTTACAAATCTATGGGTAAAAGATATTTTACATTTATAAATAAAACCACAAATCTGAAAGGTAATAATTTTAGAAAACATCACAACTTATATGAAAATAAGCATTAACAACCTTGAGGGGTTAAAGTAAAAGTAAGACCAGGCTGGTGGCTCATACCTGTCATCCCAGCGCTTTGGGAGGCTGAGGCAGGAGGATTGCCTGAGTCCAGGGGTTCGAGACAAGTTTGGGCAGCATGGCAAGAACTCGTCTCTCTTCAAAAAATAAAAAATAAAGAAATATATAAAGTAAAAGTGAGTAAAATGATGAAAGAAAAAGACCAACACTTCAAAAGAAAAACAGGCAATTCCCCAAAGAAGAAACAGCCAATAAATGTAGGCGAGATACTGGCCCTGAGAGATTTCTTAAAGACATTAAAGAAAAGCAAAGATATCCTTTTCCCCTCATCAGACTGGTAAAAGACTGATGACTCCAGTGTTATCACGGGTGTGAAGAAATAAGCACCGCCATGTCATGCTGGTGGGAGGATAAGTTCACACCACCTTTCTGGAGGCCACATTTGGCAACAATCAAAATTGTACACGCATTGTCTCTCCAACCTAGACAATCCACTTGGAAGAATTTACTTTATGAAAACATTTCGATGAGTTCAAAAGTACGTATGTACAAGACCGAAATAGTAAAAAATAAATAAGACCTAAAATAACGTTCAGTACTGACATGGATGCAACACACCCACACAGTAGAGGGTCATGAAGCCACTGAGGTCTGTGTGACATGGGACAAGGGTACCAGCATTGTGAGCGGAAGACGTTGGCTGGAAGGGTGGATGTGTTCTGAGGTTGGATGGTGCTGGCAGCTGCACAAGTCTGAATCACTGAATCGTACACTTGAAATGGGTGAATTTGATGGTATGAGTTGCTTTTTAAAAAAGCTGGCTACAAATAGCATGTAGAGTGTAAACCCCTTGTTTTGCACGTGTGTGTGTGTGACCGTGGCTAACCCTGGCAGTGGTGGGGGTCTTCCTCTTCACGCTTTTCATGCAATGAGCTTTTACAATCAGCTTTTATAAATGGGGAGGGGGAGCTATTTCAAACACACCAAATAACCTGTGTGTAGAGGGGCCTGGCACCAAACTGATTGTCAGTACCAAACCCCTAAATGGCCGTCTTGCGTTTTGCCCAGGTTCGTTCTTGTAATTTTTTAATTTAAAATTTTGTTAGATTCAGGGGGTGTACATGCATATTCGTTACATGGACATGCTGTGTAGGGGCAGGGATTGGGTCTCGGGTGGCCCATTCCCCAGAGAGTGAACACTACGTCCCCTAGGTAGTTTCTGAACCCCGGCCCCCGTCCCCCTTTTGTCTATTATTTCCATCTAGTGTCTATTATTTCCATCTTTGTAACCACTTAGCTCCTGCATATTAGTGGGAGCACGTCGTGCTTGGTTTTCTGTTGAGTCAGTTCACACAGGGCGGATATCCAGCTCCCTCCATGTTGTTGCAAAGGACATGGTTTCATTCTTTTTTACAGCTATAAGTATTCCATGGTGTATATATTCACCATGATCATTATCCACCGGTTAGTTGATGGGCATTCCGGTTGATTCCACATCTTTTTGTGAACTGTGACGCGATTTATAATTTGTCTAAACTAATTTCTTCTGTTCTGACATCATATTTGACCATCTTGCCCTGAAACTGCAGTTTGTCTCATCTTCAGAAACACCGACACCCCAGATCGAACTGGAGGCAGCAGTGTCACTGCATGGAAAGCCATGATGTGGGTCTCCAGATGGGGACTCAGATGAAAATTCCCAAGGTCCCTTTTTGCTCACATGCAGCTCCTGGAGCAGTCTTGGGAACTGATTACGCTATTGCCTATTCTCGGGGTCTCTCAAAAATCTTTATTTTAAGATAAAGTCCTTTTACTGTTTACTTAGACCATGATATATGATTCTCAATGTGGCCCGTGGGCCACTGGTGGTTCCTGAGGACCCTTTGGGTAATCTTGAATTAACACTCGAATATGCATGGCTAGCTTTCCTTCTTTGGCCTCAAGTTAAAATGTCACTGAAGCCGGGCTCGGTGGCTCAGCCTGTAATCCCGTGCCTTTGGGAGGCTGAGGTGAGTGGATTGCCTGAGCCCGCGGGTTCAAGACCCACCTGGGCAGCGAGACCTCATCTCTACAATAAATCAAAAATCAGCCGGGCGTGGTAGCGCATGCCTGTAATTCCGGCTACTTGGAAGGCTGAGGCGGAAGGATCGCCGGAGCCCAGCAGGTCGAGGCTGCGGTGGCCAGGAGCGGCCACTGCACTCCAGTCTGGGTGACACAGTGAGACTCCAACTCAAAAAAAAAAAATGTCACTTAATACAACCCAGATATGACCTCATGGTCCCTCATCCAGTGCAAGGGCGAGCAAGCCCAGATGGGCCTGAAGGTGCCTGTCAGAAATACCCTTCTGTGACCCACTGAGACTCAGACTCTGTTTAGAGGAAGCCCACACGACCAATCATGACAATCAGACTGGCCAGTCAAGGAGGAACTCTGAGGAGAGCACAGCACGTGTCGAATCTGAGAAGCTGTCAAGGGTGATGAATTCCCCAAGGTTGACGGTCGGCATTGACTTGGCAACTCAAACAGTGAGCATCGTTGAACAACCCAGAGACCAAGACTGCCAAATGTTCACAGCCAGACCAAAGGGAGGAAATGGAGTCTTCAGCTTCACTGCAGAGTAAGGTCAGCCATGTTTTAGAAGAGTGCGGTGGAATGAGGGCTCTGTAGGTGGGCCTGGGGCAAAGATATTTGCCTTGGTTTCCTCAGAAACCCAGGTCCGTAGCCATCAGCCAAGTCACGCAACTGATGTTTCAGCCTAAATCAGAAACATTGCTACCAAGGAAAGAAAGACCAGATGCAAATCTCATCAGTGCGGTTTATTTGAATGAATGGTTTGACCTACCAGGAAACAGCCTATTTTTTCCCTACGATATAATTAAATGTTTGTAAGTCTCATTCCTTCAGTGACACATCTCAGGGTGTCCATTAACAAACAAAATGAACCTCAGAAACTCTGGTACAACTTTCTCCAGGAAAAGACACCACGCACGATTGTGGAGCTGTAGAAATGCCTATTCCTGGGAGCAGACAGGTCAGTTCCTGAAATGACATCGCCTTTCGTGCAGGTGGGTGGGAGGAAGTCTTCAGCGGAGCCCCGGGTGACCAGGAGGGAAGGGAAACCAACAGCCAAAGGAAAGTCACATTTTACAGGTGAATCAGAGGCATCACCAAGGGACAGCACAGCAGTGCCCACCCAGAGTGGGAAGCACAGCATAGCGTAGCCAAAAGAACACTCTCTGGAGCCAGAATCTTGGACTGAATCCTGGCTTCTCGGCCACCTAGCTCAGGAACTCAGGGCAAAATTGAGTCACTTCACTGCTACTTGAACCTCCATCTCCTCATCTTCAAATGGGGGTGTCCACCATACAGAGCTGTTGTGAGAATTACATGAGCCAAATATGGTGGAGAATCCAGGAGCGCTGACACCTGGGAAGTGTGCCACAGATGTTGGCTAGTATTACTATCTAGAAATCTTCAAGATTTGACACAAGAGGAAAATGCCCCCTCTCGGGTGAGAAGGATGTGCCACATGCATTGGCTGGATGTTGAAGGCTCCTCAAGCCTGGAGAGCCACAGACAGCAGGGTGACGACACCCAGCAGCTCTCCGGGCACCTCCTACAGGGGTACCTCAAAACCCCAGAGTTGTGACTGCCTCTCCCATGGAAGCAGGATGGGCCACAGGACAGACCATGATGAGCTTTCTGGGTCTCCAGAATGGTAGACCAGCATTGAGTGGCCACCAGCATGGGTGTCACAACCAGACTTCAATCTTGACTGGATCAATTTGCTTATTCATGAACAATATTAAGGGCCACTGTCCTAGAGTTGGCGATTTTCACCCTCTGGGAGCTTATAGTCAAAATAATTTCAAAGGGAAGACATATTGATACCCTTTAAAAAGTGTAGTCTGTCAGTCAACAGTGTTTGACGATTGACCTCCGTTTGCCGCATGGTTTACCAGGTGCCTCAGGATGTTACACAGGCAAAGAGAATTTGCTTCTGTATTTAGAACAAAGAGGATCAGCAACAGAGTGAGACCATGAGGGGACCCAGTGTGATGAGGACAGTTTTGTAAACACACATGTAATTAAGCTTTGAATCCTGTTCTGGCAGAATTCTAGGCTGGAAATTTTCCACCATTACATTTTTATGCTGTAACTGACCTGTGTATCAATTTAAAGATGCCACAATAATAATCTCAAAAATCACTATAAGTCTAGGAAAGTATTACTACCCAAATGTATTCTGAACATTCTGGAAGCACAAGGTTGTCTTACTTATTGCTTTTATATAAGAAATATATTTGTTAATGAAAAAATTAATTGAACTGCATATGAGTACCCAACATGCTCACATAATTAAACTGATGAATTATAAACCACGTTTCTGATGTTTCTTGGGGAAAAAAGTATTATGGGAGTTTTTGAAATAATTGTGAAAAAAATAAAGTGATGTTAAAGACACTGAAAACATTCTGGAACCGGGGAAAGTTCTTAATGATTCTCTTCAGAGTGGAGCAAGAAGGTGGTCACAGATTTCAATCCAGGTGGACAGAAGCTAATTATCCTCTATGAAAAAGTCATATAGCATAAAAGACAGAATTGATAATCAATAAAAATGACAGAAACCAAAACCAACACAAGAAAAATTACCTACATGTTTCTTCCTGGCCTAGGACTCTGATTTCACTTACACTTCACAAGGGAATGAGAGAAAACAAGGCTTAGGTTTTATTGTTTTCTTGCGGAGCAGCCCATAGTCTTAAGAGTTTCTGTATAATTGAAACAGCGCCACAGGGAAAGTCCCCGAGCTGCTAATGAACGTGATCTCTCCTCTTTTTATTTGGATTTATATCCCAACCAATGCAATCATGCTGGTTCTGGTTTTCTGCTGAAGGGAAAACAAAGGTGACCTCTCAGCGTTTGAATCCTTCCCGGCTGGGCTCTTTGGTAGAGGAGAGCCTGACATTCCTTCGGCCTGAGGCTCCTGTTTCTGAAGGCATACGGTGGCCTTCCCTCCCTGCCTCTTTCTTCTCCCCTCCCTCCCTTCTTGCTTGCTTGCTTCTTTCCTTCCTTTCTCCCGTTCTTTCTTGAATGCATACCCCTTTAAAGCACCTGACAGGTTAAACTTGGGGCATCTCTGTTGTTCAGGTAAACTTGTAGTTGTACAACGATCAGACACCTTCCATCTCCGGGGTCCCAGGTCACAGGCCAGAGCCACTGTCAACCTCTGAAACACTGGCAACAAGCCAGGACACAATTGGTTTAAGGTGGCCCCAATCCCCACCCGGAAATGCAAGGAAGCTCAGGCCTTCTGACGGGGGAGCTGGGTCCTTTGACCTAACTGGGTTGATTTCCTGACTCATTTCTTTTTTTTTTGAGTTGGAGTCTCACTCTGTCGCCCAGACTGGAGGGCAGTGGCCGCTCCCGGCCACCGCAGCCTCGACCTGCTGGGCTCCGGCGATCCTTCCGCCTCAGCCTTCCGAGTAGCCGGAATTACAGGCGCGCGCTACCACGCCCGGCGGATTTTTTGATTTATTGTAGAGATGAGGTCTTGCTGCCCAGGCGGGTCTCGAACCCGCGGGCTCAGGCAATCCACTCACCTCAGCCTCCCAAAGGTGCAGGATTACAGGCTGAGCCTCCGAGCCCGGCTCATTTCTTAAAGAAAATACATCTCTCTGGGAGATGAAGCAAACAGAAGTCCTCTTCCAAAGCACACCGATCTCTTTTGCTCCCCCAAATCATCTTGACAGAGAGGTAGTAGTTGGTCGTTTTCAGTATATTAATAGCAAACCGCAAGTTAGTAACTACGTACTTTAATCTTCAACATTCACAATTGCACAATATATCATCAATCAGTTAAATAATACATGCCAATTAACCTAATGAAGAAATTAGTAAAGTAAAATGTTAAAAGCAATACCTGGAACATGTAAAAAATGCCTGATGGTAACATTTAACACACAAAGCGTGAAGTTGGAACAGGCCTTCTGAACAGCGTTATTTAAAATCCACACAAACAGGGCACAGCACTATGGAGAAATACACATAAAGAATTTCAGCCTGCCAGACCTCTCAGGCAAATCCACAGCAGTTCTAACAGGCTTGGCTAACCTGGCTTTCCACAACACACAGGGGTTTCTGACACCCCAGTGCTGTCTGATGGGAACGCAGAATTGAACAAAGAGGTGCTACCACTTACTTTCAAAACAGAATTGGGTGGGGGGGTCTAAACTCCTGACTAGTCAACTTAAAAATGGCAAAACCAGATCTTTGTTACAGAGAAAAACATTTTTCCCTTAAAAATGTATGCATAAAAAATGGCTAAAAATCATCTCCATGCTAGGGGCAAGCTGAGTATGGAAAAATTTGCATTTTTCTATCTATGCTGTAAAGAAAATAAAAAGCCAGAACATTTTGGCATTAGCAAAGAGCTGAGCTGAGTTCTCAGGCAATAAATTTATGGGGGAACACGACAGCCTCCTCTTAAAGCTGTGTGTACGTTGGCTGCATTTTATACAAGATTCTCAAATCTTGTGGAAAACTGGGCTCAGCCTGACATCTGAACAATGTCTCTGGTTTGTTTGATTTCTAAAGCATCGGAAAATGTTGCACTTTGAAAATCAAGCAGAAAAGAATTAACACACTCTAAAACAGAACTGAGCTGAATCTGAAAGGTATTTTTCCATATGTCTCTATGAGATATTTATTAGGTTTACTTCTCTTACAAACACAGCCCCCATGCTGTGAATACTGTGTATGTGTGTGTGTGTGTGTGTGTGTGTGTGTGTGTGTGTGTTTTGGTGGCGAGAAAACAGTACCGTTAAGGCAAATCTTACCCAGCAGCAGCAACCAGCAGGACAGGCAATTTTCAGCTGGCTTTTCAGAAGCTGGTTGCCATGACACAGAGCACGATTTATTCCTTAGTCCCTTATCACAGCTGCGATCACAAACCATAAAAACGAACAAGGCTCTTTTCCTTTTCCATATGATTTCAGAGTTCCTCATCCTTCCCTGAGGCCTTTTGTTCCCCCAGAGTGGAATGAATGCCAGTCATCTAGCGATTCAGTGAACGCTGATTCAAAACGCCAGCCCAAACCAGCATCTACAATCACAACTTCCTAATCACAGCCCAGTCACGAGAATGAACAGCAGGCAGGAAAGTGCACCCATTACTCAGTTAGACCAGGACTGTGTTTCTGCGCAAGGGCTGGAGGGGTTGCAGGCTCTGACAAAGGACTTGGGAGTCCTCTCGCCTGCGTGTCCCCAGTTGTCTGACTGAGACTGTTATTTTCAAGTGGCTACAAGCTCTGCCCATCTGACACGGATTAGCCCAAGCCGGGCAATGGACGTTACACCTGGTATGCCGACTGCAAGCGAGGGACCTCCTTGGTGGGCTTCGCGGGGTTCTCAGTATAGGCCTGGACAATCACCAGGGCTGATCCACGAAAGCGCCCCCGCCCCTGCCCCACGCCCCACCAGCAGGAATGTTCAGGACGTGTAGAGTTGCTTCCTAGGTCTCAGGTCTCAGTCTCGAGAGATGCCCACAGGCACCAGCCCCAGGCTCGCAGAGCACCGGGACCCGGCTCATCCGCACCCATGGGGACAGCTTCTCAGGCAAGCCCACCTGGAGACTCCTTCATGAAATCGAGAAAGTGAATGAGAACACTGGCTAGAAAGAACACACCAGACTGAAGCATTTACAAACAACACAGGATACAGACCAAGCTGGACCTTATTGAAAAAAGAAAAAAACTCCTTAAATGTGAGATTCTTTTCTCCTATTCAGTTTCAAAAGACTTTAATACTCTGGGAGCAGAAGCAAGGACGCTAGCGCCTGTTGTGCTCTGGTTTCTATGGTCACATGTCAAATCCTCCTCGAGCTGGCTGTGGGGAAAGGGAAGGGGACCTATCCCACAGGGCACATGCTTTCTTCTGCAGCAGTTTCTGAAAATGACCAACTTGGGAACTGATCTGGGGTTCCAAGAAGAGGAAGAACCTTTATTTGACTGAAGGAGACAAGTCTTTACTTCCAGGGTTTGCCTTGTGGGTGGCCACTGCCGAGGGCGCGGGGGTCCGAGTGGCTGGTGGGGCCCCCGGCGGGCAGGCTCTGACCGCTGCGGCTACCAGGCGCCTTGGAGTCTCTTCCCGAGGAGTTCGCTTGGTTCAGCTGGCCTGAAGGGAGTGAGAAAGTGAGGGCAGAAATGCAGGATGATTCCAGGGACAACCTGCCAAGCATACGTTTAAGCGAATGGAGCCCTAGTCTGCGAGCATATTTAAGTGAAGGGAGCCCTGTGTACCATCTATGTGAGGCCAGTGATGACCCACTCCTAGGCTTGAAGGTGGGGCGGGGCAGGGCAGAGGGAAACTCAGATCCCCTCTCTTCTTTCCTCTCCATTATCCCCAGTAGACCTTGTCCGTCCTTCCTTCGTTGATAGCAGGGTGAGGAGTGATCAGAGGGAAGAGAACACAGTATAAAGAGAGTCATGCAGGAAGATGATCCCTGGAGGCTCTCAGAGGTGGCCTAAATGTACCCAGAAACAGCAGGAGGAAACGAGAACTTTCCAAGAAGGATCTGAATACCTCACACTCAGCTTAACTTTGCCTGAGATGTTCATTTTGATAAAACCTCTTCTCTGTGCTCCACTCCTAATTCTTGCCACATCTGAGATGCCCTTCACTGCCCCCCAGTGCCTGTACCTCCCAACACACACACACACACACACACACACACACACACACACCCTTTAAGAAACTGAATATAAGAGATGAAGCTTTTCATACAACAAGGATGTTCAAAGCTGCAGATCTCAAGCTCCACAGAAAACATTATCTTTAAAGGTCAAAATCTCTTACTAGGATTGTTTACAGGACCCTGGTCCTCTTCCAGATAATACTCTATCTTTTTCAAGTCTTCTGGTGTAAATCTCCACTTGTTCTCTGCTGGTGGGGGCAGCACTTTGGGGCTGGACCGCTTCCGGGTAGAACCAGGTAGAAGGGCCTGCTGGCACGATGCTGGCAGGGACCCAGTAATCAGTCCTTCTGGGAACTTCTGAGCTAAGACTTTTAGACCTAGGTTTAGAACAGCATCAGAAACAACAGCATTAACAGAGCAAGACCCTGCCAAACCTGGAAAGAAGTCTGCATGTCTTCTAACCTTTGGTCACCAAGTTGGGGCCAAGATAAGGATGTGAAATCTTTCTTAACTCTTTCACCATTAAGCAGATTATACCAAAAAATGTCGGTTGATACATGGATTCTGAGAACTCCACGAGAAATCCTTTTGCTCAAGCCTTCAGCATCAGGGCTTTCTTACAGAGTCCTGAAGCAACACCATTATCTTAGGAATTAAAAACATGTGCTGATGGAGCCAGGACGTTTGACTTAACTCCCAGCCCTTCTGGCCAGCGTGGCTTTCTCTCTTTCCAGGACACTCACTGCTGAGCCTGGAGAAGAACTTGGTAATGGGGTGGGGCTGAAGGCCTGTGAACTCAAACTTCTGCCTGTTGAGTCCCGGGCAGGATGCGGCCTCACTCACCTCCGGAGAGCATGAAGAGGTTCTCGAATCCCCGCTCACACATGGTGGTGGCTGCCTGGCTGGCCAGCCTCTCGTCGTCATCGTACAGAATGATGATCTTGCCGTGGGCGTTTTTCTAAGAGCAGGGGAGTTAAGGTTCCAGGCACTGAGCTGAGGGCCCTGGGCTGTAAGAAACCCCGGGAGTAAAGGCAGCCAAGGCCCACCCCCCATACCCTCTGAGTTCCAGGTACGTGGCAGGGACGCATCTCAACCATCACATCAGCAGGGGTAGGACTGTGTCCTGTCCTAGGAGCCACACATGCTGCAGCCTTTCCTTTACAGACTCTTGCTACCACGCTCCAAGACAGCACCAGTTACAGACTTCATAACCGTTAGCTCTCTTATTCCTACAATCCTGGAAAGTAAGTATCACAATCCCCATTTTACAGGTGAGGACAGAGAAAAACGATGTCGGATGTGTCCACTGAAACCTTATTTTAATAGTAAAAACATGGGTGCCACCTAGAAGTCCAAAGTGGAGAAATGGCTGGTAAATCACAGTAAAGCTGAAGATGGGACATTATGTGTGTAGCCTGGGGAAACACATTTTAATATGAACTGAAAAATGCAGGGCACTAAATCACATATACAGCAAGATTTCAACTCTGCAAAAAAAAAAAAAATGGAAGACAGTCTGGAATAAAATATGCCAATAATGCAATAGGAGATATTGTCCAATTGTGTGATTATAAAGAGATTTCGATTTTTCTTTTTATATTTTCCAGTATTTAAATTACTTTCTACTTGTATAATTTTTATGAATGCGCAAATTAAACTTTTAAGAAGAAAAAAAGTAAAATAGAAAAGAAAAAAATTTTTATTTACTTATTTATTTATTTATTTATTTATTTATTTTTTTGAGCTGGAATCTCACTCTGTCGCCCAGACTGGAGTGCAGTGGCTGCTCCCGGCCACCGCAGACTTGACCTTCTGGGCTCCGGCAATCCTTCCGCCTCAGCCTTCCGAGTAGCCGGAATTACAGGCGTGCGCTACCACGCCCGGCTGATTTTTTGATTTATTGTAGAGATGAGGTCTCGCTGCCCAGGCGGGTCTCGAACCCGCGGGCTCAGGCAATCCACTCACCTCAGCCTCCCAAAGGCACGGGATTACAGGCTCAGTCATCGAGCCCGGCTTATTTATTTATTTTTGAGTTGGAGTCTCACTCTGTCGCCCAGGCTGGAGTGTAGTGGCACACTCTCGGCCACCCCGCCGGACTCAGGTAATCCTTCTGCCTCAGCCTTCCAAGTAGCTGGAACTACAGGCATGTGCTACCACGCCTGGCTAATTTTTTAATTTATTGTAGAGATGAAGTCTCTCCAAGTTGCCCAGGCTGGTCTTGAACCTGTGGAGGCTCAGGCAATCCTCTCACCTCGGGCTCCCAAAGTGCTGGTATTACAGGCTTGAGCCACTGTGCCCGGCCAAAAATTTACTTCTTAAGCTCTACCTGGGAAAGCTTTCCAGGGGAAAACAACCTTAGGAGTAGCTCAGTGGGTCCTGACTCTTCACTAGCACAGTAGGGCTGGGAAGCACCACCCTAACCGAGTCAGATTCTCAGCAACAGCTAGGAATCCAAGCCTAAAACACGCCACGCTGACCAGCATTGCAGGTCCTTCACAGGCTTCCCACCAGGAGCACAATTCATGATAACTTTGCTTCTTACAGTCCTCACACCACCCAGCTCCTTACAATGCAACAAAGGATACATATTCAAGAATATCATTTGAGAAAGGGTTCATTGTCCTGGACAGAGTTGCAATTGGGTAACTGTAAGCTGCAAAGGAAGGAAAGCTTGGGAAGGCTGTGGCTCTCTCAGCAAGCTCTGGCCCCAATTCCCTGCTGGTTGAAACTCTAAGAGTTAAATACATTTTCAAAAATCAACGAGCCATAAACCTAAATAATTTTGTGAAAGAAAAGAAACAGGATGCTGCAAACACAATAGAAAGCTTCCCTCCACTGCGTCTGCTGACCATCTGAGAACACCATATTCCTTCAGTGCAGGCTGGGGCCAACCCTACAGGTTTCCAGAATGGAACCCACTAACTCGTGGTCTCCTCATCCGCTGCCCACGGCTGTGGCCCCGACCTGCCTGGACTGATGAGCAGGTGCTGCTCCTGAGAGTGGGGCCCCTGTGAGCCTTCGGCTTACCTCCAACGATGTGGCACTGCTGGTAAGATTCTCTATCACGCACATCGAGCAGTAGGAAGGGGCAGTCAGGATAAGGCCTGTCTTTGGTGCTGGGCTCTGCCTTCTTCACCGGCCCTTTGTCGAGGTCCAGTTCCCCAACCCCACTGATGACGCTGCAAGTGAAAACGGAGGCCAGCACACACTGGTCAAGGGCTAGTGGTCAAGGGTCAACTACATTTCTTTAGAATAGTGAGATTTAGGTTTTAGAATTTATATTTTCCAGTATTTAAATGACTTTCTACTTGTATAATTTTTATGAATGGAAAAAGTAAACTTTTTTTTTTGAGTTGGAGTCTTACTTTGTTGCCCAGGCTGGACTGCAGTGGCACTCTCACGGCCACCGCAGCCTCAACCTGCTGGGCTCAGGTGATCCTTCCGCCTCAGCCTTCCCACTACAGGAGCTTGCCACCATGCCCGGCTGGAACTACAGGAGTGTGCCATCATGCCCAGCTAATTTTTTGATTTACTGTAGAGACGAGGTCTCACCGTGTTGCCCAGGCTGGTCTTGAACCTGTGGGCTAAGGAAATCCTCTCACCCTGGCCTCCCAAAGTGCTGGGATTATAGGCATGAGCCACCGTGCCTGGCCAAAAATTAAACTTTTAAAAAGACAAATATTCAAACAGAAAAGAAAAAAATGTGCTTCTTAAGTGCTACTTGGGAAAGCATCCTAGGGAGAAAACACCTCTTAGGAGTAGCTCAGTGGGTCCTGACTCTTCACTAGCACAGTATGGCTGGGAAACACTGCCCTAAGAGTCGGGTCTTCTTGGTTTTCTTCTCTTTGATTCCACAAAACACGGTGTGTAACATAAAGTTGTGCTGTGTGTTGGGTCTGAATGCAGAATGTCTTTTCAAAAGATGCTTCAAAGAGAAAGGAAGATGGGAGTGGCATCTCAATTCTGCCTCTGAACACAGGACCCTGGGGATTCCTAGACCACCACGCCGGACCCTACAGAACAGACCCTCATGTCCTGCATGCCTCAGTGCATGTGAGATTGTCACAAGGCTGAGGGGGCGGGAGCTGGAGGGTACATGCTGCCTCCAGCAGGGGGTAGTGTCGGGAGAACAAAGGGGGGTGGTTAGTCCAGTGGAATCTGGAGGAGGGTGAGCCGGCAGAATAAGGGGGAAGGAATACGAAAATTCCCAGGCCTGGGAAAAATGGAAGGTGTTTCTATGTTTATTGTGCATAACAGAAAGTCACAATAATGCTTCACCATTTCATACATGTAGTCACTGACCCAACCACTGCAGTGATTTGGCTTCACCACTTCCAATAGTCATCGGTACTGACTTCTGTGTTACAGGTTACCATGTTGAGGTTGAAGAGCTTTTAGCTTTGACGGCATTCACAGAATGAGATAGAGGAGGAGCTGGGATTAAAATGAGGAAGCTTACTCCTACCGCTAACATTTCGGTTTCTAAAGCCAGCCATTAAAATCACTATACTTGGTTGCCATCTTCATAGGACAGGGAGAAAGTGGTAAAAACTCTCAGTTACTCTCCCATCGTAGCTAATCAAATTCTGCATTTAAATCCAACACACAGTACAACTCTATGATACACACTGCGTATTTTGTTGAATCAAGGAGAAGAAAATCCATCTGATGTGTAACTGGTTCCTTGGGGGACATCCTTCTGGGCTCTCCCTTCCTGAAAATCATTTTAGAGTCCTTTCACAAAGCAGTTATGCAGGAAGAATCACAATAGTGGCCTGGCGACAGTAACTGCTTCTCTAGTGGGACTGGTTTTGCAGCAGGGCTGTTTCACCCGTAGGAGGGAGAACATGTGATGAAGGTCAGGCCATCTCAGAATCAAGTCAATCCTTGTGAGAAAATGCTACATGGAATACAGTCCATGTAAATCCATGGAGTGAGCAGGCCTGTGCCTCAGGAGGAAGAGCAGAAAAAAAAAAAAAAAGAAATAACAGGAGGGACCAGCCATGTGCGGTCTCAGTCAAAGCCCAGTGCTGCTCCCACTTTCCTCTGTGCCTGTTGATGTCTGAGCACTCTGAGTGGCGCAGACCATTGCATCCTCCAAATCTGAAGAGGGCGCTTGCAAAGCTAAGCCCTAATAACAAACTCACTCCCGGGAAGAAGAGGAAGGGAACTGAGAAGGGCAAACGAACACACTCCAGTTCGAATGTCCTTATATTAACTCACGAGAATACTGGAAGATTCAGGGGGTGGCATATGTACAGAAAGAACAGCCAGGGGCTGGGAGGCAACGGAGGACTTTGCTACTGTCAGTTTTGTTTTTAAGTAGAGCAGAACTCTGAAAGTGGTCTCTAGACTGGACTGAAGGTGGGTTCGCGCACCTCTGAAGGGTGGAGCGGCTGGAGTCCCCTGCTCCCGTGCTGTTTATGAACTGGACAGGGCTAGGCGGCTGCTCCTCTGGGCTCCCTTTCCCATTGGTCCTGGCAGTGATTTCTGCATCAGGGTCTGAGGTTGCAGAAATATTGTCTAAAATTTGCAAATAAACAAATAAAATATTTACTTGTTAGGCAGTTCCACTGAAATGAAGTCAAGAAAAGGAAATCTTCAGAATGTGGTGGATCCCAGGAGTCCCCAAGACGCTTCTGGGGGTCTACAAGGTGAAAACTACTTTCATTGGAAGCTGTTTGTCTTTTTGACTGTGTTGACGCTTGCTTGCACTGATGGGGCAAAGAAATAGTAAATACGACTGCCGACACCTGAGCAGAATCAGGAGTGGCACTGAGCTGGATTAGCAGTCATCACGCCCCACAGGAACCATGGCAGTCACAGGAAGAACAGGTCCCTGGAAAGGCAGCAGCCATGAGTAGTTTTGTGAATCCCACCATGACATGAGTACCCGCCTTCTCCATGTGGTGCAATGGCAGTCCATGGACAGTTACGTCTGTCACAGACCAACTGACACGGTTAGCCCAAGGGAAGGCACCAGTGTGACTGCGGGTCATAAGCTGAACCAGTCACTTCTGCCAGGCACACCAGCCTTATTTGGAGGAAAACTGACAGAAAAACTACAGTTACTTAGATGTGTGTATCTGGCAGACATTTTCTCAAAAATGAACTAAGTGGGCCTGTCATTTCTAGGAAAATACCTGATGGTATTTGGTGCCAATGATAACATTTTGAGCAACACTCAAAATTCTGGAAACTGTATTTGTCATCAGGAGCTGAAGGAACTGCTTCCCCATACTTTGAGTTTTCTGATAAATAGATGGGGAGATTCATATCTGTGAATTTTTTGATGGGGTATAATGAAATGTGTGAACATCGGAGATTTCTGTAACTCAGCGAGTCAATATTTTCCAAATGACCAATGCACAATGCCATAAAATCATGCTCAGGTAAAGGACTCATTCAAAGTTTGAGGCAGTTCCACTGGAACTGGCTGAGTTTAAAGCAATAGGATGGAAGGTCACTGGCTCGGCTGCAGATTCTACACAACTAATCTTTAGGGAACTACCAGTCATCAAGTTTTGTGGCATATTAAAGACAAATATCCACAATGACCTGGCAAAGCTACTGAAACGCTCCTCCCTTTTCCAGTATGGGTCTGTGTTTGCTGATTTTCTTCATATACTTCCAGCCCAGACAGCAGCAACAGGCTAAATGCAAAAGCTGAGGTGAGAACCAGCTGGCTCTTGTTAAACCAGACATTAAAGAGATTTAAAAATAGGTAAAACAATGACATTCCCAGTAAAACGTTATTTTGGAAATAAAGCTATTTTTCATACAAATGTTATTTATGTTTTTAATGGGTTATTATTAAGTGAAATAATACATATTGTTTATGTTCTCATTTTAAAATGTCAATATACTAAATTTTTTTTTTTGAAAGTAGGATTTATTGAGGGGACAGAAAAGCTTCCACAGTGGGAGGGGACCCCAAGGGGTTGCCCAATACACTAAATATTAATAGATATAATGCACATAAACCAGAGCTCTTTGGGGTCCTCAATAATTTTTAAGAGAGTGTAGGGAGACAGGAACACAATAAGTTTGAGAACTTGCTGCTTTCATCAATACAATGAGAGAAGAAATTAAAATAGGAAGGCTAATAATTAAGGAGGATATGAAATTTTAATTTGCACATGACATGATAATATACCTAGAAACTTCGAAAGAATACTATGAGAATAAGGGCAATAAATATATGGTTAAATTAAAAATACTATAAACAAAATATTTTTCATATATACCAATTAAAAACATGAGTCAGGTATGGTGGCTCATGCCTGTAATCCCAGCACTTTGGGAGGCCAAGGTGGGAGAACTGCTTAAGCAGGGGTTTGAGACCAGCCTAGGCAACATAGCAAGACCTAGTCTCTACAAAAAAATAAGAAAATTAGTCAGGCCTGGTGGCACTATAGTCCCAGCTTCTTGAGAGGCTGAGGTGGAAAGACTGCCCAAGTCCAGCAGGTTGAGGCTGTGGTGAGCCATGATGGTGCCCCTGCACTCCAGCCTGGGAATGGAGTGAGACTCTGACTCAAAACCAAAACAAAACATGAAAAAAATCTCATGCACAGTAACAAATGCAGCTATAAAATTACTCTCCTAAAAGTAAACCTAAAACAAATGTAAAGAACCTATGAAAATTTATACATCCTTTATTAAATCCTTTATAGGACTTATAACAATTTTATCTGGAGGCCTTAAAGAAGACCTCAAAGAGCTGGGCTCAGTGGCTCAGCCTGTAATCCTGTGCCTTTGGGAGGCTGAGGTGAGTGGACTGCCTGAGCCCGCGGTTCGAGACCCGCCTGGGCAACTTGGCGAGACCTCATCTCTACAATAAATCAAAAATGAGCCGGGCATGGTAGCGCGCACCTGTAGTTCCAGCTACTTGGAAGGCTGAGGCAGAAGGATCGCCGGAGCCCAGCAGGTCGAGGCTGCGGTGGCCAGGAGCGGCCACTGCACTCTAGTCTGGGTGACAGAGTGAGACTCCAACTCAAAAAAAAATAAAATAAAATAAAAAAGAAGACCTCAAGGAAGAGAGGTCTCCCTGCACATTCCTGATTGGGCACCTAAAACTCTAATGATGTTCATCCTTTCCAAGTTTAATTTTTAACCTTAGTGCTAATCCCAATGGAGTCTTTAAAAATCTGGACAGATTTTAAAGATAAGAAGAGTAGGCCAGGCTCAGTGGCTCAGCCTGTAATCCCAGCACTTTGGGAGGCCCACCCGGGCAACTTGGCGAGACCTCGTCTCCACAATAAATGAAAAATTAGCCAGGAGTGGTAGCACGTGCCTGTAGTTCTGGTTGCTTGGAAGGCTGAGGTGGAAGGATCACTAGAGCCCAGTGGGTTGACGCTGGGGTGGCTGTGAGTGTGACACTGCACTCCAGCCTGGGTGACAGAGTGAGACTCCAACTCAAAAAAAAAAAAGAACAAATACATATATGTGTATATTGTATACACACACACAGACACACACACACACACACAAATAAAACTAAGGGTAGCGAAGAATCTGCCTTCGCCAATAGTAACAGTCATGACATATATTAAAGGCAAAAGGTCAGAACAGTACAGAACTACAACCAGGACACCGGTTGTAACAGAGAACAAGGAAACAAACCCTAGAATAGAAACAAAAAGGTAACACACCCACATCACAAGTCAGTGGTCAAAGGGAGACCTGTTGAGTAAATGATGCTGGGACTATGCCTCAACTATCTGGAAGCATCTAATTTAGATCATCACCTCACATCATATACCAAACTACATAACAGATAGTTCAAATGTAAAAATGTAATAAATAAATGAGGTAATAGAAGAAAATTCAGGTAAATAATTTACCTTATTTCTAATTTTATTATTCTAAAACAATAAAAGAAAGCACAACAGTAAAGGTTAATAGATTTGATCATGTAAAAATGCAACTTCATGTATGTCAAAAACCAACACAAAGAAAATGAAAAGGTGAATAACAAATTAGGAAACAAATCTGTAACACATATGAATGACAAAAGGTTAATATATTTAATTTATAGTTTAAAAAAAATTAGTAGCTCCTTTCTTTTTCTTCTGAGACAGGCTCTTGCCCCAGGCAGGAGAGCAATAATGCAATCAGAGCTCACTGTAGCCTGGAACTCCTAGGCTCAAGAGAATCTTCTGCTTTAGTCTCCTGAGTGGCCAGGACTACAGGTTTGTACCACTGTGCACAGTTAATTTTGTTTCTTATTTTTTGTAGTGATGGGGTCTTGCTCTGTTGCCCAGACTAGTCTCCTGGATTCAAGCAAATCTCCTGCCTTGGCCTCCCAGCACTACAGGTGTGAGCCACCACATCTGGCCTTTTCAGTAGCTCTGAAATATAATTTGCACAGAGTAAAAATGTAACAGGGTCAGGTGCAGCAGGTTAAAACTGCTAATCTGGAAAGGAAGCATTGTTCCCACTTGTGACCTGAAGGCCCTCATGCCTCCTTTCTGGGGGATCCGCTTTCATATGTTTACGTCTCCTTCCAGGAGTGCAACAACCATATGCTTTGGCATATATTTTGTTTCATCTCCTTTTACATATCCAGGAGAATTCTACTCATATTGTTTGGAAACTGTTCCAAATAATCAAGTAAGAATTTCTCTCATTCATTTTGAAGGTTGCATTGGTTCCATCGCATAAGGATATCACAATTACTCAGAGCTTTTCCAAACCAATAAAAGAAAAAAGATGAACTTCCTACTAGAAAAATGGGAAAGGGCATGTCGTGTCCTTAAAACAAAACACGTATGACACAACCAGTAAAAACACACACACAGCTCAATCTCACTATTAGAAGAAATTAAAACTATTAGATACTATTTTTCATCTATCAAATTGGCATATATTTATTAAAATAATAATTATTCAGCACTGGCTAGGATGGGGAGAAACAAGTCTTTTCATTCACTCTTGGTGGGAATGCAAACAGGTCTTCCCTGAGTGTGGAAGTCAGGACCGAGCATCTACAATGGTTCCACCCTGGGCCTGTCTGCAGTAATTTATCTTCAGGAAATAATCAGAATCATAGGAACATTTACACATACACACACAGAATTATTTTTAAAAAGTGAAAAATCAGAAGAAACTGTAATGCCTGGCAACAGGAAAAGAATTAAATTATGGTATAGCCAAAGGGTAGACATTATAGACAACACAATCTTTACAATTATGCTTGTGAAGTCTATCTATAGAAAAGTATGCATGAAAAAATGTTAATTAAAAACAACACAGTACAAAATTACACACAAAGAGTATAGATTTAATTAGGGTGAGGAGTTAATGGGAAAGGTGGACCCAAATATTAACAGTGACCATTAGTTATTTAATTTTCTTCTCTATATATTTTTTGCTGTTTTCTAACTTACTAGAAATGTACTACACACAAACAGTATAGATTTAATTGGGATGAGGAGTTAATGGGAAAGGTGGACCCAAATATTAACAATGACCAATAGTTATTTTTCTTTTTTACATATTTTTTTGCTGTTTTCTAACTTACTAGAAAAATACTTTTAAGTCAGGAAAAAGCGACAAATATTATAAAAGATGTTTGTGTTCCTTCAGAGATAGCCAATATACATACAGATACAATCTGTTCTACAGCATTCCTGAGTGAGTTATTATCTGTGTAGAGCACTAGAAAAACCCTAATATCACTCACACATTATGGTGTCCTACTTTACAAGAGCCCATTTTGTTGTGCAAATTCATCTCAGAAGAGAAAACTGCATGTGCCCATATGTTCTGGGGCTGTGATCTCAACATGGAGGACCAGGCTAGGTGCTTATGTAACCCGGTGAGAATCAGGGCACATTCATGAGGAGATGCAATTCTCTCTGTGACAAAGAGCCCTTCTTTCTCTGCTGTGTGAGAGGCATCTGTCAAAGATAAATTCCTGTCGTTTTCAGATTCTCTTTATCCTCCCAAACAAAACCCAGTCCAGGGAAATGACAGTCAAGTTGCACAAACCCAGTGTTCAGACTTCCTGAGAAACTTGTCTTGAAATCAGAAGTCAAATTCCTGACCTACATCAACCTTAACAAAACACATTCCTCTTCAGTAAACAGCCACGCACTGGTGGCTGGGTGCCTCAGGACGAAATGAGACCTTCCCTCTGTGGATTCCTTTCATGAGAGGACAATTATGAGGTTTTGTTTCCAACTTGGTATTTAGGAAAGGAGACCTGGAGCCTGCCTGTCTTCCTGGCCTTATCTTCGACCCAGAGCTCTCCTCCCTCAGGCCACAGCCAGACTGGGAGGTTTGAGTCCCAGCACCCTATATGCTTTCAGCTCCCAGCCTTTCTCAGGCTCTGCCCCTGCCTCAACGCCTCCTCCCGACTGGCACTGTGGAGTCCACCCCTACACAGCCCAGTTCTAGTGCCCTGGGGGAGCCGACCTAGGCCTCAGAACCGGAAGTGCCTTTCCTTCCTTGGAACCCCCATGACACCCACATCTCTCCCAGGGGTGCTTTTCAGGGCCCCTCAAGGGTGCCATTCTGCATATACACAGAAGGCAGACTGAGTCTGGGTCCACTCCTTACCAGCTGGATCACCTTGAGCAAGAAATTTCACCTCTGAGCTTGGGCTTCTCCTCTAAAGGGTCCCTTCCTTCTAGAGTTTTTGAGATGATCAAATAAGGAAACTCAGGTGAAGCCCTCACAAGAATGGCTTCCTTCCATCCACCCATCTTAAAACTCCAACACACATTAGTAATTTTGTGACGCCGTTTGGCCCACCCGGAACACCTGCACGTGCACAACGTTACCTCAAACTCCATGCAAGAAGGGCTGTTGTCTTCATTACCACAGTCTCATAGCACATTCTGTGCTCTGTGTATACACAGAATGCCAACATATATTTGTTGAAAAAGAGTAATTAGAACATTAAACACATCTGAAGCACTTAGAGCCAGAAAACCAGATGGCTTTTCCAAAGAAGTAAGAGTTCACAGTGAAAGCCCAGGCAGCGCTTTTCTGAGAGTAGCGGACTAATGACAGAGCTCGACATCAAAGCTGAGTCCCTGAGAACCGCAGAGGTGCGTGGGGAGCCCGGGGTCAGATGGCCAAGCCTTATCTTCCCCACATCCTCAGTCCTTATTACCTTCTAGCCTCTGAATCTCCTCAGCTGTCACTTGCAGTGTTTGATCAGAGAGGGAAGCAACTTGGATGACCTGAGAGAAAAAAGAATGCAATGTGTGGCGAGGCTCACATTTGTTTGTTTCTAAACAGAGGCGATTCTGTCTTGTACCAAAGATGAGGAGACAGCAGACATCAAAGGCCTCTTGTTTTAAGAAGCTGGTTGTCGGGTCTTCAACCGAAAACTGAATCTCAGGCCCCCTTTATTTTGCAGATGTGAACATTCCAGAAAAAAAAGATGCATTTAAGACACTACATGGTAAATTTAAAAGACCAAAAGGATAATTTAGGACAAGGAACATGAATAAGAGTTTAAAATGTCATCTGTATATATTCTGGTCCCAGCATACATTATTTCTCGAAAACGCAATAACGACCTGCAATAACAGAATAGTATCAGCAATTCTCCACACAATAAAGAAAAAATATAATAATGAATACGGTGATTACAGTATTTTACACCTCTATATAGTGTTCTCATTTATTTATTTGAGTCAGGGTCTCACTCTGTTGCCCAGGCTAGAGTGAAGTGGCACCACACCATCACGACTCACTGCAGCTTTGCCCTTTGGGGATCAGGTGATCTTTCTGCCTCAGTCCCCTGAGTAGCTGGGATTACAGGTGCACATCACCATGCTTGGCTAATGATTTTAATTTTTTTGTAGGGATGAGGGTTTGCTATGTTACCCAGACTGGTCTTGCACTCCTGGGCTCCAGGATTCCTCCCTCCTTGGCCTCCCAAAGAGCTGGGATGGCAGATGAGAGCCACCACATCCAACCAAGTAGTCATTTTTAATGCACTTTTCAGTCCTCAGTTCATAAGACCCAAGATTCAATTTGCGTTACGCCAATGAAACTCATGTTTACGGACTGGAGAGATGCCTTCCCATAATTTTTCAATGAAAGAAAAAAGTGACTTGCCCAAAATGACAAAACAGCTGACAGTAGGGACAATTTGGAAAAGAGCTCAGTTAGGTGTGGTGGTTCACATCTGCAATCCCAGTACTTTGGGAGGCCAAGGCAGGAGATCACTTGAGGCCAGGCATTTAAGACCAGCCTGGGCAACATAGCGAGACTCCAGTTTTTAATGAAAAAATAAAAAACAAAATTAAAAAAAGAGCTAAGTCAAAGAAAAATGAAAATCACTTGGCTTCCACAGAGAAAAGTATTGAAACAATCCAGGATCCAGAATTCTAGAAATTTTTTTCATGGTCACACTGGTAAATGTCAGAATTCCAGATTTTGAATATTTAATTAAAAGCATAATGGAAAATTATTTGCTTTGACATAAATTTAATGAATCAAAAATAGAAGGCAGGGCAACCTCCTCGGGTCCTCTCCTGTTGTGGGAGCTTTTCTGTCCTCTTAATAAAATCCTGCTTTTTCAAAAAAAAATAGAACGCATATTTACCTTATCAGTTCTTATCAAAGAAGAGAGAAGAATTTCTTATCATCTTTGTGTGGACACACACACAACACACCAATCAATCCTCCCACAGGTGAAATGCATACAAAGAATCAAAAGAAACTTCTCTGCAAACATTCCCTAGAGTTGAATTTAGAAATACTGACATAAAGCATACAAATTAGACAGTCTTTAACTTCAACGGAAAGATCATTAACTCACCAACTGAGCAAAAGTTGTAACTTTTAGCCTCTTGAAAAGTTCATCTTTTCTGTATCTATAATCTGAAAAACAGGATAGGTCAAATATTTATCTAAATTTATTTTGCTTTCTTAGAGCTATTCTTTCCAGACATCTCAAGTTATTTATATGCTTTCACATTTGAGCCTTGCAATATCTAAAATCAGGTAGGGCAGGCAGTATTATCATCACTTCCATTTTTTCCCCTTTGTTTTGTCATCAGGAAGCTTAAAGTGGAATTTATAAGCCACCTTTTTGTGTCAGCGACTTTAGCCCTTGCCTTGTTAGTCTGCTGTTTTCCTTTGCCTAGGCCGTCTGCACCTTGGCCATATTGTATTGCATGCATTTTTGTAAGCTGCCTCAAACTCTTTTCAGAACAAAGCAGGGAGCAAACATCTCATTTTACAGATGAGGACAGAGACCCAGAGAAGCGGAGTTGTTTCAGGTCAAACAGCTGGCAAGACGTTCACACTCCCCTTTTCTGACTCCAGCTTGAGAAGACGGCAGCTGCAGACACAGGCAGCACTTGCTGGGTACAGAGTTAGGAGGGGCCTGACCAGCTCTGGGGATGGTTTCTCCTCAGCTTGACTTCAGCAAAAACTAACCTACTCAGTGCTGAAAGACGAACTCTGTGGCACTGCGAGGTGAAGATGCTTAACACCACTGAACTGCACACTTAAACGTGGTGAGTGTGGTGCATTTTATGTTGTGTGTTTCCGACAATTAAAAAACAATAAAAGCCAACCTAAAGCATCAATATTTACTCAGTGCTACCTTTACAGTTGAGATGAAAGTCTACATTTGTGTTAAGAATGCTCCATATCACAATAAACAATTGCTAAATGCAGAGCCTAATCACTTCATCTTGCATCCATCCCATAGAGGCACGCTAAAGGTTAGCCTCCTGGAACTTCTCTGAAGACAACTGCCGATTCTGACCGGGCTTCAGTGTTGACCTCTGCCCACCCCTATCCTTCCTCCTCTTTTATAGTAGTTGGTGCCCAAGACTCCTTGAATACTGCCTCATTATTTCAAAATTATCAAAGGATAGTTGGATAATTGCTATGGCCTTCGCAACATAAATGTCTCATAAACCAAGATTCCTGGCAACAAAGGAAAGGATTAAAGGTATTTAAGATTATTTACCTGGTGTTACTAATCATTTCCATGAATTTTCCAAAAACCCAGCACAGACCGGATGGTGACTTTGGAAGATAACACAATCCTGGTTTACCAAACACCTTAAGACTCAGAGTTGGGAAACGACACTATCTTAGAAACTAGCCTTTTGTAATACAGGAAGACTTTTTTCAAAAATAGGGAATTTCTAAAATGTTCAGTTCTAACATGTCTTAAAAAGAGCAATTTGGCTAGTAACAGACTGTTACTTCTAGAAAATTCTTAGAGATGCTTCTTCTAGATACAACAAAGTAGCAAACCTATATGCAATGGAACTTCTAAAACCTGCCAGGATGCAGGGGCTTTAAAAAGCACATCTGAACGACAACTGTGTTCCTCTCAACTGCCACCACCCTGCTCACCAAAAGCTACTTATGTAAATCAAAACAGCAATAAATCAGCCAGTGGCAACTGCCAACAGCTTTCAAGTCACTTGCGTTGTGACATTTATCCATTGATATTCTTTTCGTATGATTACATAGTCTGAAGCACTTTTAAGTATAAAATGTGCACTTTAAAGTCTCCTTTAGCTAAGCAGAGATTACCTTAAACAAACAAACAAACAAACAAACAAACAAACAAACAAAGACTGTGCTATACTCCAAGGCTTGGCATTTCTTCTGTTGCCTGCACAAGCACCAGAAGCCCCCTGCATATTTGAACCTGAACTCTACGTACCTGGTTCTGGTTTAGAAGGGCAGCCATCAGTGGGACTTTCTGACATTATTAGGCAGAGATAAAAGATCACACTGGATGTTTGCGGTTAAGTTTTAAATTTTGTAACAAGGGTGGCTTGGAAGGCTCTGTGAGTCCGTCCTTGCAAGAGCGAACAGAGCTTTAAGAATGGAGCTTCTGCCACTGGGGCTTCTCCCAAACTCCGTGTTGAGGACAAAGAATCCCAGCTTCAGATATGTTATCAAGGCCTGCTTCTCCAGTCAGTCTGGGGTCCAAGGCTGTGTCTCTCGAGTTACTGGAAGGACAGAGATCCGACTATCTAGGATGCTTCACAGAGTCCAGCTAGTGTCATCCAACCACCAGAAACCAAGAATAGGCTTTGTAAACTGTCAATAGACACAGAGCATCTATTTTCCCCAGGTAGAGTTGAAAGAATATTCAGATTACAAAGGATTTTGCATTTTCAGGGTTCTGTTGAAATGCGTTATTAGCAAAGGGAAGTTGGACTCATAGTGGAAGACAAATCAAAGGAAGTAACAGAACCAGGCTTGTGATTTCACAGCAAGACGCAGCATCTAAGGTAATCTGAGTGAAGTGATGCGTCTAGGGTGTCATGAGACAAGGGAACATTCTCCTCCCTTTCAACCCAAAAGATCACTCTCAACAGAAAATGGGGAAAGAGAAGGAAATACTTTCCAAAGTACAGATGTCAAACCAGAATCTAAAGTAATTCAGTCAGGGAATGGGCACTGAGTGTGTGAAACGGGGTGACAGGAACCTCCTGCTTGACCCAAAGGAGCCCACCACTCCTCCAGAGGAGAATGGACCAGTGTCTTCAGGGCTCCCTTCCAAGGACATTTCTTCTGAGAGGCAATCTCCATGCACAGCAGAGATATTAAAGAAACCACTTGTGCTTCTAAGAACTGTGTTAGATGAGGCTTTACCCATCTGGGTGGAATGGGACCTTTTTATGGGACAAGTTTCTAGCGAGGACATGTGAGCTCACGCTCGGCTACAAATAGATGGGAGGTGGAAGAGGCGACAAGCCAGCAAGCGGGCCAGTGGGACCCCACCTGCCTCGGACGTGATGAGGACGACGACAGGGACCGCTGGTGAGTAGAGTGGCTCTTTCTCACAATCTGAAGATCAACATATATTTTATGTATATTTTATATACGCTTCTGATAATGTAAAGTGTGTAAGAAGAAGACAGGGTGCCCTGCATTACAGCTTTGAATAAAAAAATCTGTAGCCGTGGCGCCCGAGTCAGCACAGAGCTGCCCCTGGTCCACATCTGTGTCTGGGGTTTCCCAGCACACGGCAATTCAAGAGGAACGTTTCATTTAAATTACAAAGTCTGCCATGTGAAAGAAATATATTCTGGTGTGTTCTGGTTCTGTGATCTTCTCTTCCGAGTCCTCAGCTGGGACCCAGCAGAGCACCTCTTCACTGACTTCAGCTGAACACCCCCCAGCACTGGGTTCTCTTATTTAGCAAATCCACCTTAGAAACAGACACTCCTACTTCTTCTTTAATTCTGGCCTGGAAATGTACATTTTATACCAGTTTTGGACACAGAAAGAAAAGTTACGCTTTTGTGCAAGGGTAATGCACTCTGTGACTTATCTTTTGTAGGTTAGCTTTTCAAAAGGATGTGGATGAAGTGTTATTTTTTAATTAAAAGAAAACAGACTGCAATGAAATGAGAATGCACAGCACTAAGGACAAGCTCCTTCTCATACCTCTAAGTCCTTCCTGAATACTCTCTAATTTATACTCACAAGAGGGTTATGAAGAGAGGTATGAGTACCCCTCTCCAGGTGCAAGGTGAGAAGATAGAAGAGTAAACACATTGAAGAGGGGCATGAAGATTGCAGTGCAATGAAGCTGGAAGCTTAGCCAGAGCTCGACCCACCACACCCCATCCACATTCCAACACCAGCATCTCCTACAGGATGTCAGTGGGGCAGGACTCAGGCCAACAGGTCACAGTCTTAGGGACTGACCAGGATGCACCCAGCGTCTCCCATCCTGTGAGCACCTGCTGGGCTCTGCACGAGTCAGCAGTAGAACATGGTTGTTGGTGACTAACCGACTTACAGAACAATCACCCAGTTCCATTTTCCCAAACCACCAACAGCGTTACTCACTTTTTTTAATCTCTTCAAGCTTCTCTGTGTATTTAGTCATACTGTTCCCTACAAAGAAAACAAGGATTTTAGATATGCTTTAATGGAAGAAAATAAGGCACACTGTAAAAGCAGAATGGAGACAAAGTACTCCCTAAGCTCTCCTATCCTGTTCCTTTGGGATTCTGGACAGCAGGCAAATGGGCCACACTAATAAAGAGTCTTTTGTTTTGTTTTTTTGAGTCTGAAGTCTCATTTTGTCACAATGCAGTGGCACACTCACGGCTAGAGCAGCCTCAACCTCCTAGGCTCAGGCAATCCTCCTGCCTCAGCAGCTGGGACTACAAGCGCATGCCACCACACCCAGTTAATTTTTTGATTTATTGTAGAGATGAGGTCTCACCTAGCTGCCCAGGCTGGTCTCAAACCCATGGGCTCAGGCAATCCTCTCAACTCGGCCTCCCAAAATGCTGGGATGAAGGCATGAGCCACTGCGTCTGGTCTGTAATTAGTCTTTTGGATAATCTAGCATTGTCAAAAGATAAGGAACAGAGGGAAATGTTTGGTCAAATGTGTAAGCTAGGATGTGTCCTCCTAAACATGTAGAACTCCCTGCAATAGATGATCATTTTCTATCCAATTTGTTGTTTTGTTGATGTGAGTCAAGGCTTTCCCCCTCCCTTTATCCTCCCCTAAAATCTTTTTGTGGGGAATACATACAGAGAAGGAGCAAGAAAGAAGCCATGTTCTTTGAATGTCTACAATGTGCCTTTGTGGCCACCCAGGCAGCCCTTTCCTCCCCTTCTTTGTGGCTCCTCTTCTTTTCTTTATGGTCTTCTGCGACTCACACTCATGTTGCAACCTGAACTGGACAACATTGTCTGCCACTGGTGTTCACCATGGGTGCAACTTGCTGAGAAGTAACAGCAGATCCCTCTTTGCAGAGAGCCCCAGCTTCATGTTTCATAGTCTGGTTCTGCAATGCTAGCTACTATCCAAGGTGTTTTGGAGGTCTGCAAGCTTTAAAAATGGGCTAGAACCATTCTGGGTTCAGAATGAATTAAATTCTAGCTTTCAGGGGCTATTATTTCTACTGGATGTACTTCAATTTGATTCAATTCAGCACAGCAACTCTAATTGGCACCTAAAAGATATGGTAAAAGGTACACATTCAACATAATTTCTCATTTCTAAAACTGTGCTCCTGGCCAGGCACAGTGCCTCATGTCTGCAATCCCAGCACTTTGGGAGGCTGAGGAGGGAGGACTGCTCGAGCCCAGGAGTTCAAAACTAGCCTGGGCAACATAGTGAGATCTCATCTCTACAAAAAGAAATTTAAAATTAGCTGGGCATGATGGGATACACATCTGTAGTCCCAGCTACTTGGGAGGCTGAAGTGAAAGGACCACCTGAGCCCAGGTCGAGGCTGTAGTGAGCTGTGATCATGCCACTGTATTCCAGTCTGGGGGACAGAGTGAGACATCAAACACAAAAAACAATATTAATAATAAAAATAAAATAAAACTGTGCTCCTAACTTTGTAAGCCTTGAGCAAATCTAGTCAGATTCAGTCCCAACTTCAGATAAAAGAAATGCATTCAATTAATGGCATGGACTGACATTTTCAATAGCTATTCTAAACTTTTCTTCATGTTTGGGTCAGAAGCAGAGTAAGAAAATCCTTGCTCTGAATCCCAAAATACATTTTCAAAAAACAACTTACTTCATTTGTTATTATTAAATCTGTACCATGAATTTATGATGCAATAAAAATCCTAAGACACACGTTCTCTGTATCCAGGACCAGAAGGGGGGGATCCAGTGCAGTCCTAGATCCAGACTGAGTCCTTCCAGAAGCTCAGAGAGAGATGAGAACAGTCAGGGCTATTCAGAAGGCCTGAGCCTCATCAAGAGAGACACTGAGTGAATACCAGAAGAGGCCCAGAGAGCATCAAAGTTCTCTTAGCATCCAAGAACAAGGCACAGTCTTTTCTGGGTTCTTCAGATGGCAGTCAACCCAAGATGTGACAGATTTTCAGAGCAGAAACCACAATATCCTTGTAGACACACTTTTATTTCCCCCAACTCTCAACTCAGGCATGGACTTGCCTGCCCAACACATGGGGGAAGAGGGCAAGTCAGTACACTGTTCAGCATCCCATGATCTTATTCTTAAAATATTTTACACAGGACAGGCATGGTGGTTCAAGCCTGTAATCCCAGCACTTTGGGAGGCCGAGGTGAGAGGACTGTCCAAGTCCACAGGTTTGAAAACAGCCTGGGCAACTTGGTGAGACCTCATCTCTATAATAAATCCAAGAATTAGCTGGGCATGGCAGTGCGTGCCTGTAATTCCAGCTACTTGGAAGGCCGAAGCAGAAGGATCGCCTGAGCTCAGTGGGTCGATGCTGGGGTGGCCGTGAGCAAGCCACTGCACTCCAGCCTGAGCGACAGAGTGAGACTCCAACTCAAAACAACAACAAAACTTTTACACAGTAGCTTTTGCTTATTGTTCCTGAGGCCCCCACAGTTGCATGTTGCTGATGTGGCAGGTACTTTCTTCTGGCTTAGGGAAGCCTCAGGCAGCCTAGGCAGAAAGCTGAGGGACAAGAAGGATTACTGGTTGTCCAGTGCTATGTTAGCAACAAAGCCAGGACCCCCATTCCCAGTCTCCCTGTTTCTAAAATGGCACCCCAAACACTCCACTTTATCCCATATCACTCAGGTTGTTTCAGGGCGTAGGCAACCCACAAGTGTAGAAGGTAGCATTTAGCTTCTACGTTACAACTAAGGCTGCGTCGTGGTAAGCACACAACTGATGACAAGGTATATGCGCAGGAAGTGTCACTGTCTTGATGGTGGCAGGTGGATTGTCTGAGGCCATGATTCCTTGGAAGATGGAAGGCAATATGCTTGGAAAACAACAGCCAGCCTTATTTACACAGCCTTTATTATTAAAACACTGTACTTCCAAACCACAGTGGTTTCTGCTAACCTTGTGTCTGCAATTCATTTCTCTATTAATTACGAACATTTCTGAATAATGACACAGCACTTCGTCTTGGACAGCCGGCCCTCGCAAGCATGCTGGGGCTGGCAAGTGTCATGCTACTGTTTGTTTTTCCCCTGAAAGGAGAAGGCAGAGAATCCCAGTCTTTTGCAGCTATACAAATACTGAGCAAAATTCAGAGCAAATCTGAGAGGACTGTTGATAAGAAGCTCTTTTCATTATAGACATCCGTGCTCTCCTAGAATGGGGAAGGAGGCTGGAGGATTCCGCATGGCTTCCCCTGGAGAGTGAGATGGCAGGTCGGCGGCACAAGTGTTCCTAGAGATGGTTTCAAAAGTGTGAGAAAGGGGTGGAGTGGGGGTGGGGAACACAACATCAATAAGAGTGCCTGATCTCAACCCATGCAAAGTGGGGGCCAAAGGGAGGCCCAAACTTTAACTGTACAATGTCCACTTGTATACCTAATCCTGAATTGGACCCCATATCTTTAAAATAAAATATATATTAAAAAATATATATATACATATCCATGCCCCAAAACTTCTCATGGTTGTTGAGAGGACCAAATTAAATGATGCATGCGAAAAAAAAAGAAGTGTGAGAAGCAGTGTTTAATCCCACTTTGTACATTGCTCATGTCTTAACTATGTGGTTTATCTTACTGTATCAAATTGCATCTGAAAATAGTTTTTAACTACCCTTTAAAAAGATGAAATGAATCAATTTCATAATTCACTGATTTATAAATATACCTTTGTTTTATACAAAAGGAGGGAGAAACCCAATTTTCAAAAACATTTGAAATCATACATTCCTGCCAGTTACATTTTCCTAGGTAAGACTTGGATTAAAAAGAATACCCATCAGTGGCTCGCCATTGCTGGCTGACAATGCTTCACCTCCCCGCACTAGCGCTGAAGACGCCACGGCCTCCCACATCTTCAACACTGCCTTAACTACCAAACCCTCCATCTCCCCTTGTCGACGGAATCATAACAGCTCGTCTGGCAGGAAGGGACCTTTCTTCCTCTGAACCTCTGCAGCTCTCAGCGTATCACTCACAAGGCAATTTATCACTGTATCCTCTTATCTGCCTAATTAGATGGAAAGCCAAAGGCTATTCAGGCCTCACACACTAGATGGAAAGCCAAAGGCTATTCAGGCCTCACACACATACACACACACACACACACACACACACTCTCTCTCTCTCTCTCACATGCTTCTTTAGTCTTTCTGTTATTTAGCAAAGGAGCCACTAAAAATGTTCACTGAATGAGATACATGATGAGTATTGAGTTATTTATATAATGAGTTCTTTTATAAGGCAAATAATCACATCCCGATTTGGTTTGAGTTTTTGCACATCGATTTTCTTTAACTATGCACAATTTGACTCACAGACAGCACACATTATATATACTACATATTTCATGCATATTGTTTCAGGACTTAGGCAACTTAGAAGTGTATCAGGTAGCCGGGCTCGGTGGCTCAGCCTGTAATCCCGCGCCTTTGGGAGGCTGAGGTGAGTGGATTGCCTGAGCCTGTGGGTTCGAGACCCGCCTGGGCAGGCGAGACCTCATCTCTACAATAAATCTAAAAGTCAGCCAGGCGTGGTAGCGCATGCCTATAATTCTGGCTACTTGGAAGGCTGAGAAGGATCGCCGGAGTCTAGCAGGTCGAGGCTGCGGTGGCCGGGAGCGGCCACTGCACTCCAGTCTGGGCAACAGAGTGAGACTCCGACTCAAAAAAAAAAAAAAAGGAATGTATCAGGTGGCATTTAGCTCCCACTTTGTTTACAACTAAAGTTGCAAAAGAAGATATATAACAAAAGTTTACAATTAAAATCAAGAGAAAGAAACAACCCAACTGCATCAACAGCGCTCTGCAGAGATGGAGTGTAAGCCACTAACTGAGTGACTCATTCATTAGATTTTTTCCAGTTTTCCTACAATTTGATATCATGGTTTTACTGAGCCAGTAAGAAAAGCAAGTGATTTTGAGCAGCAGTAATCTAGAGGGGGTAAGATTTATAAGGCACGAACTCCGTTGCTAAGAGA